CGCTTCGATATAGCTTAATCGTTAATATATTAATCGAAAATAATCGACTTATTCTTATTTTATAAATATAGATATACTTTTATTAAGAGATCTTAACTCTTTAAAAGCGAATACTTTATTAGATATCGATTTAGTTAATTAATATAGACTATTTCTTATATAATCTCTTACTATCGTCTTATTTATAAATATATTAATAATTCTAATATATAAATTTTCGAATTATATCTTAAAACTCTTTCGATTTAATACTATAATAGATAGTAGATTATTATCTAATTCTAAGATATATAGAATATTTATTATAATTTATATATAATTACTTATACGAATTCGAATAGTTTCTCTATTTATCGTTATTAACTTATCTTAATTATCGAATTCTACTTCTTTCGAATAAGATTATAAGTTAATAAATAATTTCTTATTTAATATTATATAATAAGTCGCTTCGAAGTCTATTAGCTAGCTACTATCTTCTAAAAAATCTATTATTATAAAGAAATTCTTTATTAATAATATATTATTTATAAACTCTAACTTTTCTCTAGTTATTTATAAGTTTTTCTTTTAATTATATATATCGCTTATATCGTTAATATTATTATCGCGAATTAATTTATTTATTACTATTATAATACGATCTAAGCGTTTTCGTTTATTATCTTTAAATATCTTTAAATTCTTTAATCGATTTTTTAATTTATAATTTCGCCTAATTAAATCCTTCGCTCTATAGTTTTTATTCTTTTTATTCTTCTTATTTAAATATTTTCTCTCGTAATACTTAATTTTCTTATAGTTATAATATTCTATCTTATTTATATCTCTAAGAGGCCTTTAATTTAACTAGCTTTTTTATTTATTATATATAAATAGATCTTTATTCTTAATCTATCTATCTTACTTTACGATTTATAGATATTTTATAATTATTTTAATAGTAAGATTCTTATTAATTCTTAAGTTATATTTAGCTATATTAAATTTACTTCTCTAATAAATATTTATAATTATCGTTATTATAGTAAGATTATATAGTATATAGATTAAATTTAAATTCGTAACTTCGTTCTATAAATTTTATAAATCTACTATTATTTAATTAATCGTCTAATCTACTAATTTAATATATTTAAGAAACTTCTATAATATAATTAAAAGACGTTCTTTACTACTTATTCTATAAATTCGATAAAGTTTATTCTATATATATTTAAACGTAATAAAATAGATAATATAACTCTTTTAATTTTAATTAAAGTTATTCTTAATTAGCGTAGTAATTTACTTATTTAAAATAATCTATTATTTAATTAACTCTCTATTAAATTATATAGATATTAATAATTCCTCTAATACTATTTTAAAAATATTCTATTTCTTAAGAAATTATTAATAATTCTAGGCCTATAGATAATAGTTTAAGTTCTTTAGAACTTTTATTTTAACGTATAATTTATTAATAAGTCCCTTATTTAATTTCTTTAATAAATTAACTATTAGCAAATTATCTAAATCGAATAAAAGATTCTTCTTTTTATCTTCCTTCTTTTTCTTTTCTTTTAAATAAAAAAGACTCTTAATTAATAACGCTATCTATCTAGCGAATAAATAATTTAATTCTCTAATTTACTATAGTCTTATTCTTAAATATTCTTTAATAAGATTTTCGAGATAATTATATTCTCTAATATTTAGAGAAGCTATAGCGATAATAAATAAATATAATAAAAGACTAAAATCTCGATTAATAATTAATCGAGTTTATAATCTATTAATAATATAATAGATTATATTTAATATAATTAGAGTTAAGACTATATATAAATACTATATAAATAAATCGTATATATAAATAAATAGAATATAAGAAAAGAACTTTATATAGTAGATATAGACTTAATATAAATATAAAAAGTCGCTTATTAAATTACTAAAGATTTATTCTTTCGAGTTATTCGATTTCGATTTATAATCTATAATAAATCGAATCGCTTCGAAAATTATATCTTAGTTTTTTAGACGTATTAATTTTATATATATATTAAATAAACTAATTATTCTAGTATATTATAGTTATAATTATAAAATTATTATCTATAGCTATATAACTATTCTTTATAGCTATATAACTATAAATAATATAGCTATATAACTATTTTCTATAGCTATATAGCTATAAATAATATAACTATATACAGAGAGGCGAAGCCTTTATATTTGGGATGTCCCATCCACTGGCGCCTTAGGTTCGATCAGTCTTGGTAGAACATTAAAAGCAGCTCTTTTCGCTAGACAATACCTTTGAAATAACAGCTTTTACAACGAAACTTGCAGGCAAAGTTGCAAATCTTCTCGAGAAGAGCCATTACGAAGTCGGAGATATGGGCGTTCTTGTTGTAGAGTTGCGGTGGGCTGAAAGAGGACTTTTTCATGTTCGGTGGGAGTCTGGATGGCCTCAACTAGCATAGACCAGGTCTGACAAGATTATCGCGCAGCTACAGGGTTCAAAAACGTGTAAATTCAATAATGTCTTTAACTGTGAAACCACTGTGCCTAAATGTTAGACTTTGCACAATTTAGACTAAGGAGCTGCTCCCGAAATGATCGCAAAGTCGCAAGTTTGAGGATGAAAACATGGGATGAGAGGTTCAAAACATGTATATATATGAAAATAGTAAAATTTGGGAAGGATAACATAGCAGGGGCTGTGGTCTAAGGGTATGACGAGTCTTTAGCACGCTGCTAGTGTTATAGAATAGACTAGGTTCGGGGTTCGAGTCCCCGCAGCTCCAGACAACTTACATTTTTGCACACCTTAGGAGTGTTGATTTTTGTTTCTAGATTTTATGTGTTGATAAAAGTATGCCGTTTGTGGAGTAATAAGCAAGTCAGCTGAGATTTTGGCTACTAAAATTTGGCATGAGTCACCCCCTACTGCGGTTGGAGAGGCTTGTCAGTCTGGGGCTGAGGTACAACGAAGACTTACGATCATAGGGTTGTAGGCTCAAGAGCTAGATAATTGAGTCAGAATGGTGGGACGACTCATATTCCTCTTATTCAAAGCGACTCACCTGATGCAGTAGAACAAACGTCGGTATGAGATTCAAGGCAGACATCTCCATAGATGCCCACGCCCCATGGGGTATGTGGGAGAATTTCTTCGACTTTCCCCCGGTTCCACTGAACACGTACCGTAATGGTTTGACGTGGGCTGCGGTAATGCGCTGGCTCTGGCGTGAAGCCGTGCTGGTCAGGAGACTCTGTACTGTACGTGACTCCGAGCGTCGCCTGTCTGTCGCACCCTACATTATCTGCATTCTTGCGCATGAAATTTTACTGCGTCTTCGTACTCTGCATCATCACCCCAATAACGATGCGAATTAGGCGGTAGCCCTGCTGCGATCTGTACTGGATCGTCCGGTACTAGCGTCCATCTCCTGCCATTGTCTATCACAAAGTTCCAGTCAACATGATGTCCTCGCTTTCGGACTGCCTTGTGCAATGTCTCGAGACATATCTACAATGTATTGGTCTAGAAAGGCCAAATGGGCTTTGCTCTTGCAGACACCTCTAGACGCTTGATTTCTTCCTACTGACAGGCAAGTAAATGTTGAGGACCCTACTCACCGCAATAGATCCGGACGTCGGCATTGTCCCTGTTATTTCCTAACGTCATCGCGCCAATCCAGCCTAAGTCTTCTTGGAGGTGGTTTAGAACGTCTACATTCATTCCAAATAGCAGTACAGGCAATTGCTTACCGACCACGAGCCATGCCGCCGTCTCCTCGTCAGTCTCTACATTGAAATCCCTTGCGACCTTGAAGAGCAGTTGATAGACCAATCCTTGGTATCTGTCGTTAAGATTGAGCAGTCGGCTGGCCCCTTGGGTGGCAATATTTAGAGATTCTTGTACCGTTGCTGACGTGAAGCCTTTCAGCAAGCAGCTTTGATCTACCCACAAAGTTTTGGGTGCTTCGACCTCATAACTGACAAAGATGGAGGTCACGGAAGTCAAATAGAGTGTCAGAATGGGAGGCCAAAAACACAGACCGCCAATGCAGAAGAAGGCCATCGTGATAGAGTTGTAGAATGTGAGCCGAGTCCTTGGTCAACTTCAAGACATTTTGTGCCTTATCTCAGGTCGGCTTGTATAACTTGGTAGCTCGCTCGCATATCCCATATCCTGGTAAGGCATTCTTTTCAGATAATAACGCATCTGTTTCTACACTGGATTTACCTATCTCGGCTATTTTGGACCATTGCTTATACACAGTGTCATACAATGTATCAGCCACTTTTTACTGGAAGAGTATGAGCCGAAGATGGCCTGCCCATAGTAAAGCGCGACTTTCAAGGCGAAGATGTGAGGCTGACCCCTAATACACGGAAACGTTCAAAACATATGAATGAATCATTTCTTATACATGTACCCTTTTTGAAACGCGGTCACTTTTATTTCTGGGACAATGCGGTACGAGCTTGCGTTGTAATATGTTCAAAATTTGGCTGATTCATTTGCGTTCAAGAGACACAGAGGAGAGCATGATATTCCCCTTCTTTACATGTTTCAATCCCTTCCGTAGACTGATGCATCGAGCATGTTGAAGACATTGTGTTTGCTGAGCTTAGCTTTTTCAAGATTTGTGCCAAGTTTCAGCCATGAAACACACCATAGACCATGGCCAAAAGAAGGCTCATCAAATGTTGTTGCCGTACTTGCCAGATTCTTCGTGTCCAGAAATTTTATGGAAAATATATGTTATCAGCCTCTGAAGAAGCTGTTGGAGTCAGGGTTGCCGACGTATGGTCTTGGTCTGTAAGCCTTCTCCAGATGGATCCAAACAATTTCGAATATATAGTCCAACTCAGAGTCCGTGCCTCCTCACATCTTTCCCCACAATCTCTATCACTTTTCTGCTATCATATGGAAGATCTTGTTGCTCTACGGCAGCACTTCATTGGGTACTGGCGGTCCCGCTTTGCGCTCTCCAGACATGCTTCTCCCAACGGTTGTCTTGCTTTTGGCTTCATTCTGCAACGCTGAAGAGCGCTCCAATCCACACGAAACTACCTTGGCACCGCGCGCAGTCAATATCTTAATACCAACAGTGACTCTTGCACCAGTGACCAACTTCAATCAATCACTCGTCAGTCGTTCCATTTAACGTTTTGTGGAACCAGAACTAAAGACACACAGCCAGCGGGCCTCTTCGTAAACGTGACAGGCCCTCAGATAGAATTCATAACAGATGTCCCCAGTCTGAATGGAGATGCGTTACTTGCTCTTGGACCGGACGCTGCGGCGGCGTTAGAAATAGCCTATCAAGAGAATTGTCCCAACGGGCTAGACAGTCCAAATTGCGAAACCAGCCTACAGCTCGCCTTGAACGTCGACCAGCCAAACCTCCAGAAACGCGTGGTCGTATTTCTTGTCCCCATCCTGGTTGAGGGAATGGCTATAGAGTTTGCAGAGATGCGGAAACAGGAGAACGCAATCAGCAGAATCAGAACGCCTAGTCCCAACGTTGCGATGCTATCGTCGGTCCAAGGTAGAAAAACTGTTGTGTTCGCAACTCAGACAGACGGTGGCAAACTGATAACGGCAGTACCAAGCCCAACGGTCGATAGCACTAGGTGAGCATAGTTTCTTTCGCTCACTGTACGTATCATTTGACAACGCTGATACATGAGTAGTCAATTTTCTGTTGCTACCGTCACGGTTGGCAGCAGCCTTGCCCAAAAGGGTGACCTGATCTTCGCAATGCCATCCGAGGCCGGGTTTGCTCTAAGCCAGTTCGTGCAAACGTACGGCCGGTGCACTGTAACAAGGAAGCGAAGCTGCGACCCATACGAGACTGCAGGGTACGTAGCTGGGCAGGCCATAGCAGAGGTGAAGCCCGGAGGTGTCACGAAAGACCTGATCACCATGCCTACTGACATCTCATTCGGGGATCTCATTCAGCCGCTGGCGGCGCCGCTTCCGCAGGTGGTACTGTTCGGCAGGCAGGTCACCGCGTTGGCTGCGGACTCTGCCCTTCTCATCATTGTGGCCGCCTTCCTTCTTCTAGCTGCCTACGCTGAGCTTACGACCACAGCGCCCGGTCCTACCCGGTCGATCATACCCGCGAGCGACTTCTCGACGTCTCGAATGCCTCAACGGACAGGATCAGAATGTCCGCAGCACGTACCCAACTGCAGCAACTGTGGCGGAAACAGCTACATCCAACCAGACCCCTTACACACCAACGGGAACTGTGTCGGTATCAAAACTACTAAGTATAACAACTTTGCTGCAGGCTGCGTCTGTGTGGACCCGATCGACCCGCCGGGGTTCCAGCCATATGATGACAGCGAAGCCATCAGCGAAGCGCAAGCCTTCCTGGTCGCCATGGCTGCCGACGGAACAGGAGGGGCCATTTCCACGAGTGGCTCTACCACGATTTCTGCATCAAGCTCCCCTTCCGCGAGCCCGGCTAAAGCCTGCAACAACGGCGTATCGTATGATTGACCAGAACCGTGCGAGGCGGATTGTTCTGCCGGGACTCGCACGCCTGTTCAGGCGAAGGTCGGGGGATGTGAAGGGTGCACATCTTCCCCCACAACTTACTACAAATGTACATGTTAGTAGAAGTCTTGCTGCTAGATCGACGATTAGGTTCTCGAACTCTCCGAACATGTTTGGCAAGCCATGGGTATTATCGGTCGGAGAGTAAGGAGGATCGTAGAATAGAGGTTGTTTACCCTATGTCATCACATTCCAATAATCACATTCCTACCATCGCAGTGCTACCGCCTTCTTCTCTTACCCCACCCACAGCTTCTTCGACAACGAAACTTGCCCGACCTTTCAACTCCCTCATCCCGCCCGCCCGACCAATCGCCGCCATCAACAAGGCTCATATCCAACAACCAGACATCGAAGTCCGAGTCGCTAACGCAGTCAACGACCTTGCTCCAAGCTACCCTCCAAAGCCCACATAAAACACTTGATATACATACATCTACACCGCATGAATCCCTCTCCATCCTCACAGTCTCCCAACGGCTTCTTCCGCTGCCCAACGAAGAAGGGGGTTGGTTCTGCGAGCCAGGTCTTACACGACCCGTCTGCACTCGGACTTTGCCCCTCGTACCATTCCTCACAACATCTTTAACAAAAAATCTCGACAGTGCTTGAAACACAAAGCGCACGCAGGGTTGAAAACTCGCGTCGAGGATGCCGGGCGTGATAGGGCAGCTCCTACCCGCGAGTAAACTCGGCATCTGCGGATATATGCCACGGGCGAGAAATGAGCGCACGAGAGGCCATAAGGTCGTTGGCATCGGTCGTGCAATGATTTTGGTATCAGGTTTGAGGAGATTCCGGTCACAGGGAAGCGTACGCGCTTGAATGAAGCGTTGTCTGCGTGCTAGCATAGAGTGAAGTACAGTCAAGTGCTACCCTCCAATCCTGCTTCGCTCCGAGGCTCGCCGCCGTTTTGAGTGCAACCCTCTACCGCCGGTTTGCCACTGCTCTAATACGATCTCCGTTCCAGATGGGGATCATATCGGCCTGGGAGTGAGATTGAGTGACATTGTTGTCTCTGAGTAGTATAGTAGGTACATGAACATCATTTTTGCGGCTCATAATTCAGCAGATGCTGATCATTACCCCTAGATCCTTTGTATATCTGGTATAGTTGCCCTGGACATCCTCTGACAACTTAAAGCCCATCGATGCCACATGTCACTCCTAGCATGGGGTTCTTGGTTCAGTGATACCTTATTCGAAGTTTGTTTTGAACCCTTGCTCCTTTCACTTGCACAAAGGTAGAACGTTTCAATCGATTTTCGCTTCAGCTAGCCTTCTGGAGGGCGTCAAGTTGTTCGCAAGGCGAACGTTGGGAGGCAAATTCTTGGTTTTACGACCAGAAAGCTTCTTTCGGGCTACCATGACTGGAGCTGACGATTTCGTAACGAGGTAGTTTGAAAAGGAGCCGAGAAGGACACTGTGTACCAGAATTAGCCACGTCCACATCCTATAGACGGTGGGCTTTCCGGCTTACCCCTTAAGAGCACTGCGCCCACGAGAACCAATGATGACAAGCGTGGGCCTGAGCCCATCAATCTACAAACTCGTGAGCCTTATGAAAAGAGTTCGCTCGAAAGGGTTATATGACGTACAGCTTCAGTGACCATGTACTTCGGACTTCTGCAGTGAATGACTTCGATGGCGACCCTAACCTGCAGCTTCGTCTTTCTCAAAAATCTGAGACAGGTCTCTGACAGCGTTTCAATAGCATGCGCTCGTTCTTGGTCGGCGTTGGATTTGGATCTGGATCTTGAATCTATCGATACCACTGCACTAGACTTTCGTGACCCCGGACGGAGAGTCGCCTTGGATAACATGAGAGGCCCCTTTTGAGACGCGACAGTCATCTTCTCCATCACTGCTGTAGTTTCTTGCATTGCTTTAGCGCCCTCACCAATAGGGAGACTGTCTCCCGTTTTACCAGTGCCGACCTCCTCATCAACGGCGTACACTGCAAGAAGCGTGTCGCCATCACGCAAGACTGTACCGATCGTCCACTCCAAAGCGTAGGCAGCTTCACTGCTCAAATCCGTAGCTACGAGGTAGGTGCGCAGTCGCCTTGTCCCTTCTTCAGCTTCTCTCTGCATCTGTGCAAAATCACCTCTGATGATCGTCTGAATGACTCGATGAGGGACCGAACTATCGATAGGAGAGGAGTTGATGTTCAGTTTCTGAGCCCGGCGAATGTCGTTGAGCTCTTCCGAGTCCGATGTGCTAGGGCTTGGACCTCGACTGACGTTCCGATCGTAGTTGGTATTAGGACGCACGATAAATCTCTTGGATGTTGACACTGGCTTTTCGCCTTCGGGACCCGTGACAGTCACAGTTGGTCGCTCTCCATCTGATGCTGCAAGTGGGCTTCCCGGCGCTGTCCGTTCGCTGTCCTTGATATCCCTCTTCCTGCCTCTGGGCTTTGCCGAGCCTGAAGCCTCATCTCCGGAGCTCCAAGCCGTTGGGTCATCATCACTACTTTCGATTGCTTCTTCTCTATCGGGGTCGTCTAGATAGTAGTCCTTCTTCAATCGCCCCACTTCAGCAGAGGATAACACATCGCTGCTGGGTGACAAGCGTCTCTGACTCTGACTCAACCGAGAAGATGGAGACTTCGAACTCGTCTTGAGGATACCGGTGGTCGAGTTGTGCCTCCTCCCGTTCTTTCGCAATGGCCCAAAAGATAGGCCTCGTCTGATGGCTTCGTGGGGCTCGATACTCGTTTTTCTTCGCCCTTCTGAAAAGCTTCCAATTTGTGCACGCTGGTCCTTGTGATGGCCTGAGCTCTTGGGCCTTGCTTGTTGTCCTTCCTCATTCGAAAGCTTCGACATGGTATTGACCATGGGTTTTATGGTGTCAAGATTAGAGGCTTGCACTCTTGTCGGCAGTCCCATTGTACCCTCGTCTCTTTTGGCTTCCTGTTGAGTCACAGCCTCTTGTGAAGCATCCAGGGCAACAGCAGCCGTAGCCTGTGTATCCATCATTGTTGGAGTTTGTGACTAGCTCTCGAAGATGCTGAAGAGGCTAGCTCTTTGTCAAAGCTGCGGGTAGGACAGAGGTGCGAAGTTCATTTGTTGGTGTTTTGGTGGTTGTTTGCCTTGCTTATTAGTGGTTAGCTCGATGTCTTCTCCTGCATGTGCGCAGGCTCGAAATCGGACACAGTGAACCTAATCAAGGCAAATGCTGAGATGGGCGCGGATGCCCCAGTATGCTAGCACGTCCACAGAACAACATTGTCTCGAGTCGTAGCATTGTATGAGTAACAAGGATCGGCTGCTTGCTGCCTAGGCCAATCTTCCCGAGTATGCAGGCGAGGATGAGCTTCTTCAGGGTGGTCGCAACATCTTTAAACAGCCTCCTTTCTCATTGCAGGTTGGAAGATACATTCTCATCATGTCTCGGCCTCGCTGTCCCAACTTTACCCCTCGTTGCTCCTTCCTACCTGTACTTTAATTTTAGCAAGCGGCCGGCATGAACCTTAAATTCGATGACATCGAGGGTGCATTAAACATCGAGACATCACAAATGCTGTATCTCGGTATCACTGTCATGTAACTATGAAGAGGCCCAGTATCCTCAATCTCTAGATGTAGAAGAGATACGTAAACACGAATCTGACCCGGTCTTCTGCTCAGCCCATCGCCACCCTCTCTGGAACCGCTTCAGCTTTATTACTCTCCCATGTCCGCATATAAGTAGCTCCTCCCTCGCCTTCCTCTGGAAACCTAAATTCTCACCACTTGCTGATCATCACAGCCCACTATATAGCAGCATGTCAACTCAATACGACACCATCCAAGCGCCCTACGACGAGATCCGCAAAAGTTCCAATGCCCTTATCGAGCGCGCTAACGTACAAGAAGCCGTCGCCCCTTTCATCAAAAATGCGCGTGTCCTCGATCTCGCGTGCGGGTCCGGCTTCTACTCGTATCACTTCTTAAAATGGGGAGCCAGAAAGGTTGTCGGCGTAGATATCTCCCCAGTGATGATCGAGGAGGCACGCACTGCCAGCTTTCAAATTCCCTCGAATGGCGGAACGATCGATTTCAAGGTAGCCGATTGCTCCAAACCAGTGCCGTATGAAGGCGATCCTTTTGACGTCGTTTTCGGCGCCTGGTTGCTGAACTACGCTCCCAGCGGTAAGGATATGGTGGACATGTTTCGCAACGTTACGCTTAATCTCAAAGACGGCGGACACTTCGTCGCCGTGACGGTGCCGCCAACGCAAGACCCTGCAGCGTTCGTCGAGGCTGAGGGCAAGGTTAGACCGAGTGAATCAGGTGGATCAGGTGGCTTATTCTGTAGTGTTACAGGAGTGGTGGAGGATGGAATCACCATCCACGTGCATGCGGACACGAGACAGGGAGATGTGGATTTCGATTGTTATCATTTGAGGAAGGGGGTTTATGAGGCTTCCGCGCGAGAAGGGGGGCTTCGCGGTGAGTTGGCGTGGAGAGTGACTGCCGTACCTGATGAATTCTTCAAGGATCGCAAAGGTGGTGCTAGTGTCGAAGAGCTTGATAGCTATAAGGTGACCCCACATTTTGGAATCTTGGTCGTGGCAAAGTAGATGATGAACAACGTATCACGCATCTCGATAGGGGCTTTCACACCGAAATAACACTGGTTCCAGTGGGTCGACTAGGGTTTCATGCAGCATGCCACTACAGCAAAATGTCCGAGTAATGGATGCTCTACACTCACTTTTCATGCGAACTCCCACACTGGGTAAAAAGAGAAGAAATATTTGGCGGCCTTGTTGTCGTTGCCTTCCCTGTATAATCGACAATCTTGTCAGGAGCAGAAGTACCGAAGATTTCTCAAGTTATCTGGACGAACTCAGAGACTCGAAAAGTGAGAGAGACTTCTGTATCTGATTCTAAATTGAACCGTCATTTCCTGTTCTTTATCTTTGGACTAATCTGTAAGAAACACACCCTACTGCATCCTAGGCCTCCTGCAGACACTGATCTTAGCCACTCAAAGATGCACAATAGACTAGAGGCTGGACATTTGTCGTGATAGTTAATCCACTAATTGCACACGCAGCGCCTGCCGCCGGATTGAAGACATGGTACTCCTTCCATTAAGACCAAGAAGAGGCTTCTTAATGCCTAAAGTAAATTTGCACGAAAGAAGAACATCCTTGGAGTTGGGTAGGTAGTCTGGTAAGAACTAGCGATCGGTGTTATCATTGTAGTTCCAACGTGCTGGTACAACGTTGGCACGCACGAGTGCGTTGCTTGCTTGCTTACTACTGGAAGGTATCACATGGTCCGCATGCATTGCCAAGCGCGAACGCATTTCCAAAGCCTTGGGTCACTCGGTATTCTACAATTTTGAGTATTCCAGTCCTCGGGTAAGAGATCGGCAATTCTATTACAGAGATATTCGAAACCTGCCCAAGACTAATGGCCGAAAGGAACGACATCCCAGGGGCAGAGCACGTGATTGAAGGTAGAGATAAGGTCGAAAATCGTCGGATAGCACGTGAATACACTCTGGAGTTATACAGTTCGGATTCTAAGGATGGGTCGAACTGAGATTTCGGTTTCTGTGATATTGCTATGAGGTCCTCTGAAGTATCCCGAACCAGAAGACTGATTGTAGATGTATCATCACTGGTCTCTGACGACATCAGAGTTGCCGTAGCGGTGCATCGATTTGTTCCTGTGATGCCGGTCTCCATACTGGCCAGTCTTCGAGACACGTCCTCGCTGCACCCCAGGATACGGCCGACAGCGGTAGTAAGGCTCCGCACCAAAGCTCGTGTTTCTTTCAAAGATGTGCTGAATTCAAGCTTGACATCAGCTGCCTCGATCGACATACCAAGTCTAATTCTGCATTACTCACAAAGTAAAGATTGTCAGTATCAATTTCAAAGAACTCTTGGAGGCTCGGACACGAGCCTAGATTCCGTTGATCTTTTCTTCGCTTCTCACCCAACGCAGCCTAATGCTCGTAGACATTGGTTTGTCGATTTTGAAAGAATCGAGTATTTGGTGCAGCTCGGACATACTCAATCCCAAAGACGTGGTGATGGCAATAGATTTGCTCCACGGATATTACATTTCTTCGTACTCTGGGAGCATCCTTCGTCCCTCGAACAAACATTCCAAGATGAGTAAGGCAGAAGGTCAGGTCTGAGAGCTCTATGAGGACGCTGCGCATTGAGTGCGGTGCGTCTCTTTCCTTTCCGATAAACTCTGTCACCGCCGCTGTGATCTTGGCTGCCACTGCCAGGATGCCCGTGATGGACGCAATGACGCTCAGAGGATCAACGTTGAGGGATGGTGGCGAGCAAAGTGAAGCCTTGAGTGTAGGACTTTGGAGAATCACAGCCTTGCTGCACGTTGGAGTCCGCGGCCGTCATAGCGTGGGGCTAATGCAGGATGGAGTCGAGAACCTAATCTTCATTGGCTGGGTCCTAAGCAAACGATACATTTCAGGGATGTTTTAACTTTGTACATCGTATTTTTGCCGTGAAAGAACGGGAGAAGGCTGAACAGCAACTGGTAAGCTGTGATACGACTTGAGAGTGACATAGGGGCAATATGTACGATGACTTTGGATATATAGTTTATCTTCTCCTGTTACCAAACGACAGGTTGGCTCGAGCTGCAGTACCCAGTTTGTGAACCCCACCCCTTCTATCCCAGACATTACTCTTCCCTTCAACTATAGCAATCAATTCGTCCGCAATTTTGTGAGCAAACATTGCTCTGCCGCTGCCTTTTGTACGTTTCTTGATTGCAGCATCTAGAATCCACATCACAGCTGTCCGTCGCCGCTGCCGTAAGCCTAGAGGTATCGGTATCTGCAACGCTACACCACCACCTGCCGCGCCTTTTTGTGATCTTATCCGGAGAAGAGGCGCCACAGAATCGATAGCAAGTGTGAGGTAGAGTATGGGGTTGAGAGGAAGGTGGTTGGTGGGAGGAGCGCCAGGTATTAGAGGATGTCGAGGGTCTGGAGTAGGTGGGGGAGCCGTTCGTAGACGTTCGAGTATCATAGCCATGTTCTAGCGATAGCTTCGAGTTAGCACCCTAATGTAACGTGATGTGATTGTGAGCCCAGCGGGCTTGTAATGAACAGAAGAACTGACGGGCGTACCCTCTGAGCTTTACTCAGCTTGCCGTCTTGCATAAGGAGATTTGTAACCTGATGGATAACCGGGTCATAGCGATGCTTGAGATGGGAAGTGCTCGGCAAAGGCAGCTCTGGTAAGCCGAAAATGTGACCCTGATTTTGGACCTCTGCAGACTCGGGGTCGATCATGGCTTGAGCTCGCCGCGGAGTTGAGGTCGAATACGATCTGCTTCCCTTAGGTGACGACGCTTTGAGTTCTTCCTGCAACACTTTGGGTGCCTTCTCTTGGCTTTTTTGATCGCGTTTTAGGATCTATTGTCGACTTTGTCAGCTGATGTCGTGTTGACGATGGTATTCATGAGGGCACGTACCTCTTGTACTGGTGAGCCCTGTTCCACATCTGGTCCCCCTTCGCCAGTAATATCACCAGTAGCTGCTGCCTCCTCGCTTACGTGCGGGAGTTGATCTTGATTGGGTCCTTTTGGTTGTTCTGATTCAGGCAAAGGTTTCTCGTCTGAGGTGATGTTTCTTCTTTGCTGTAGTCGAAGACACAAGGGTATTCGGTGAGCGGAGAACTCTAGGACCTTGGGCCGCACATCAATTGACCGGCCAGAGCGGAGTAGCTGGATTCCTGGGCGCATCTTGGCTTTCAAACGTAGACGATCGTTGGCGAGCAAAGGCCAGCCTCTAAGCCTCCAAGCTGCAAATGTTCGATCTCGCCAAGCTTGATTAGTCAGCGGTTTCTAGATCTACACTGCGTCGCGGGTGCCAGAAATATCCGCACATCTAAAAATTGAAAAGTCGATGATAATTTCACAATTAAGAGCCCTAGCTGAAGGTTCTGAAGAGATAATTAAAGGACCTAATCAATACAAATAGATCGCTCCGCAAAAGTTTATCCTTGAAGAGAATAATCATCGAGTTCTCTCGACTAACAAGGTGGAGAGACTTCTTGGCGTGTGCGGATATTTCTGGCACCCGCGAGACTGCAGAAGCAGGGAAAGAGACTTTGACGCCTATGAGGCTTCCTTAATCTACGATATGGTCACTCTGGTCTCGAATAGTGAGTTTTAATAAGACGGCAAAATGTTCTACGTTGGATCTATCTAAGATTGATGGAGAAGAGAACTGGAAACATAAAAAGTACGCTATTACAATATGGGCCTAGAGCCGGCAAATTGCTTTTCACAAAGCAAAGCGGAGATGCTCTATTGCCTCGAGTGTACTTTTTCCTTCTCGTATCAATTTGTACCTGAAAATACCATTATCATAGTCCGTGTGTCTTATTTGACCATTTGGTAGCGTATTAACCGTATCGTGGACTGCCTTTCTCCTTGAACGATTCGAGACGGCGGGCTCCGACGAGTCTGATGGCCTAAGCCAAAGACTTTAGTATCTTTACCGTCCTCTTCCTGATCTTGTGTCTGACAATCTCGGGACTCTCATTTCTTCTTCTCTGCTGATTGGAATCGACGACGATATCTGATGCGTTACGCTTCCTTGAGATTATTCTCTTACCCGGTCTAGGACTCGTCTCCTTTGATTGAAGCACCTAGAATTTCTACCCAGGATGGCTCCAGGAATCATCGAACCTCAGCCTGCCGTCTCCATCGCGAGATCACACTCACTGCAAGCAGTCACAGAGCCATATGATGATATCCTACGGTTCTATTTGAACGGAACCAAAGTTGTAATCGATTCTGTCTCCATTGATCCCGAAATTACTCTACTGGAGTATCTAAGAGGGATAGGCCTAACAGGCACGAAACTTGGATGCGCTGAAGGAGGCTGTGGCGCTTGCACTGTCGTGGTCTCTCAGTTGAATCCCACAACCAAGAAGCTCTATCATGCATCTGTCAATGCGTGCTTGGCGCCTCTTGTTAGCGTGGATGGCAAACATGTTATCACAGTGGAAGGCATCGGTAATGTCAAGAACCCGCATCCAGCCCAAGAACGGATAGCAATGGGCAGTGGCAGCCAATGTGGCTTTTGTACACCTGGCATAGTCATGAGTTTGTACGCTTTGCTGAGAAATGAATCAGACCCTTCAGAGCTCGAAGTTGAAGAAGCCTTTGATGGGAATCTCTGTCGTTGTACAGGCTACCGACCTATCTTGGATGCTGCGCAAACATTCAGCAAGAACAAGGCTTGTGGCAAAGCAACAGCCAACGGCGGTGGTGGCTGTTGTATGGAGAATGGCAACGGAGATGCGGCAAACCGATGTTGCATGGAGAAGACAAACGGTGTGAATGGAGATCAGCCGATCAAAAGGTTCACACCGCCAGGATTCATTGAATACAACCCAGACACTCAGCTCATATTTCCTCCTGCCTTGACGAAACATCAATTCAAGCCTTTAGCATTTGGAAACAAGCGTAAAAAATGGTACCGGCCGGTCACTCTGAATCAGTTGCTCGAGATCAAGAGCGTGTACCCTTCAGCTAAGATCATTGGAGGCAGCACCGAGACGCAGATCGAGATCAAATTCAAGGCTATGCAATACACTGCTTCGGTCTACGTTGGTGACATCGCCGAGCTTCGCCAGTACAGCTTTAAGGACGACCATCTCGAGATTGGTGGTAATGTTGTGCTGACGGATCTCGAGGACATTTGCTTGAAGGCAGTTGAACACTACGGTGCCCTCAAGGGGCAACCCTTCATGGCAATTCACAAGCAGATCCGATATTTTGCAGGGAGACAGATCCGGAATGTTGGTACACCGGCTGGCAATCTAGCCACCGCTTCTCCAATCTCGGACCTGAATCCTGTATTTGTGGCAACTAACACCGTGCTTGTTGCCAAATCACTCGATAAAGAGACAGAAATCCCAATGTCTCAATTCTTTAAGGGGTACAGAACTACAGCGCTGGCACCAGATGCAATCATTGCAAGCCTACGAATCCCTGTTGCGCGGGAGAAAGGAGAGTATCTCCGAGCGTACAAGCAAGCTAAACGCAAAGACGATGACATAGCTATTGTCAACGCTGCTCTGCGCGTCTCGCTGAGCAACGACCATGTCGTGGAGAGTGTGGACCTTGTGTATGGAGGCATGGCTGCCACTACTGTCGCTGCTCGAGAAGCGGCCTCTTACCTGGAAGGAAAGACATGGACTGATCCTGCAACACTCGAGGGGGTTATGAACGCTCTGGAGAACGACTTTGATCTTCGCTTCGGGGTGCCTGGGGGGATGGCGACCTACCGCAAGTCACTCGCACTTGGGTTCTTCTACAGATTCTATAACGAAGTCCTCTCAGGCTTAGGCGTCAAGGCTTCGGAAATTGATCAAGACGTCAGAAATGAGATTGAGCGTGTGATATCAACGGGCAAGAAAGACCATGAAGCTACTCAAGCATATGAGCAGAGCATTCTGGGCAAGGCAAACCCCCACGTTGCCGCTTTGAAGCAATGCACCGGCGAAGCTCAGTATACTGACGACATACCCGTACAAAAGAACGAGCTTTACGGGGTCATGGTCCTGTCGAGTAAGGCCCATGCAAAGATCCTAGACGTTGACTTTGAAGCTGCCATGGATCTGCCCGGCATCGTCGAATGGGTAGATCATCATGACCTGCCGAGCCCTGAGGCCAATTGGTGGGGTGCTCCAGGTATGTGTTTTACGGAACCGTTGTCCCCTTTCCACTTTGCAATTTTTAATCTGCTGGACATGGCAAAAGAGCTGGAGGCGCCATTTCACTCCGAGACTTGTGTCTTAGATTGCGATCTGGGCTTGAAAACAACTAACTCCTTACGCCTGTAGTCTGCGATGAGGTTTTCTTTGCTGTCGACGAGGTCTTCACCGCGGGACAGCCTATCGGTATGATTCTCGCCGACTCCGCCAAACATGCAGAAGCTGGAGCCAGGGCCGTCAAGGTGCATTATGAAGACCTGCCCGCCATCTTCACAATTGAAGAGGCCATCGCCCGACAAAGCTACTTTCAGCACTATCGGTACATCAACAAGGGGGAAGGCGAAGAAGGTAAATTTGATGATAGCGTTTGGGAAAAGGCAGATCATGTGTTCTCTGGTGTAGTCCGTATGGGCGGACAGGAACACTTTTATCTCGAGACCCAGGCATGCGCCGTCGTGCCAAAACCGGAAGATGGAGAGATGGAGGTTTATAGTAGTACACAGAATCCGACAGAAACGTAAGCTCCCGCTCCCCAATGCCGCTCTCTAATGGCTAACAATCGTACAAGGCAATCCTACATCTCCCAAGTCACCGGTGTCCAAGCCAATAAGATCGTCTCCAAGGTCAAACGCCTTGGTGGAGCATTTGGAGGTAAAGAGACTAGATCTATACAGCTTTCTGGCATCTGTGCTATCGCTGCGAAGAAGACTAAAAGACCTGTGCGATGTATGCTAAACCGGGATGAAGATATGATGACTTCCGGTCAAAGACATCCTTTCCTTGCAAGATGGAAAGTCGCTGTGAACAAGGATGGAAAGCTTCAGGCCCTGGATGCTGATGTCTTCGCAAACGCTGGGTGGACCCAGGACTTGAGTGGTGCGGTCGTTGATCGAGGCCTGTCACACATTGACGGGTGCTATCTCTTTCCCAATATCCACGTCCGTGGTCGCATAGCAAAAACCAATACAGTTTCAAATACCGCTTTCCGCGGATTTGGAGGTCCACAAGGGATGTTCATCGCCGAAACCTACATGGAAGAGATTGCAGACCATCTAAGCATGCCAGTAGAAAAGCTGCGAGAAATTAACATGTACAAGCCGCATGAGATCACTCATTTCAATCAGGAGCTGAAAGACTGGTATGTACCGTTGATGTACCAGCAAATTTTGGATGGAACAGATTATCAGGAGCGGAGAAAAACGGTCGAGCAATTCAACCATGAGCACAAGTGGAAGAAGCGGGGCCTAGCCATCATTCCGACCAAATTTGGGATATCATTCACTGCAATCTTCCTCAACCAAGCCGGAGCCCTAGTGCATCTCTATCATGATGGCTCGGTTCTCGTCGCGCACGGTGGCACGGAAATGGGTCAAGGTCTCCACACAAAGATGACAATGATAGCAGCCCAAGCCCTCGGTGTGCCACTTTCCGACGTCTTCGTGTCCGAGACCGCTACCAATACTGTGGCCAACACCTCTTCAACCGCTGCCTCTGCTTCAAGCGATTTGAACGGCTACGCCATCTTCAATGCCTGCGAACAGCTCAACGGACGGCTCCAACCTTATAGGGAGAAGCTTGGCAAAGATGCACTAATGAAGGACCTTGTCCATGCTGCGTACTTCGACCGTGTCAATCTCTCTGCCAACGGCTTCTACAAGACGCCTGATATCGGATATACATGGGGTCCAAATACGGGGCAGATGTTCTACTACTTCACTCAAGGAGTTACTGCCGCTGAAGTGGAGATCGATACTCTCACTGGCGACTGGACTTGCTTGCGTGCAGACATCAAAATGGACGTCGGCCGGTCCATCAACCCTGCGATCGACTACGGCCAAATCGAAGGAGCATTCGTCCAAGGTCAAGGTCTCTTCACGACAGAAGAAAGCCTGTGGCATCGTGCATCGGGCCAGCTTTTCACTCGAGGGCCAGGCACGTACAAGATCCCGGGCTTCAGAGACATCCCACAGGTCTTCAACGTCAGTCTGCTCAAGGATGTGGAGTGGGAGAACCTGCGCACCATTCAGAGATCGAGAGGTGTGGGCGAACCGCCACTGTTCATGGGCAGCAGTGTCTTCTTCGCCATCAGGGACGCGTTGAGGGCCGCCAGGAAGCAGTACGGCGTCGAGGACGTCTTGCAGCTGCAGAGTCCAGCGACGCCGGAGAGGATCAGGATCAGCTGCGCCGATCCGATCATCACGAGAGCGCTGGTGGAGCCGAAGGAGGGGGAGAAGAGTTTCTTCATTTCCATTTGAGAGGGTTCTAACGCTTATTTGTGGGACGAGAGAAATCGCATGATTGTACGAACATTATGATAGTTGCGCGGGCGATGCTCTTCCGAAGTGGTCATGACACGGCCGGATTTGATGTAAGGTGCGGAATGCGGGCGTAAAGCCCGAATGATCAGAGTAGCTATCTATGACCCTTTTCCTATATCTATCTCTACCTCAAAGTGCGGTGCTACATCCCAAAACCCCACTTGCAATCACGACTCAAGACCGGTATCCCGTGATGGCTGTTCGCATATCCCTCGTCACTATATGAAAATGTGCTGAAGAAAGGACACAATGGCTGCGTTGCAACGAAAAACGCACATCCTCATACCTCTGCTCCTCTTTCAACCCTGGCACCCGTCCCCACGTCCTAGCCGTGACGAAGACTACTACTCTCCTCAGCGCCCTATCTGTATGCACCTTACCCTATCTACAGTCGGAACAACGCCAGCTACTCGTCCAAGCATGCTAACCTTACCACCCATCATCCAACCACGACGGTGTGACTACCCGCCTCGTTGGTCCGAACAGGCTACCTCACACCCCATTCATTCCCGCCACGCGTGAAACCAGCGCGCCGCACTCGTTCGGAATACTCAGTGACGGTTTGAATCAGAACGAGCAGGAACCGATTTCCAAAAACGGGCACTCTCACTCAACAATCCACGGTCGTTCCGGCATTGCGCTCTTCTTACCTCTCGAACTTGCCCGGTGGCGGGATGGGGTATCGAAGTTTCTTTCGTGGGGGGTTGGGTGGGGTGGGTGGGGGCTTTGGGACGAGCTTGAGCTTTTGGCTTGGTGAGATGGGTGGGGGGTTGGTTCGGTTGTGGGGCTGGATGTTTGTCCGGGCGGCGTGTTTTGGACTGTTTGGTTTTTTTGGAGGCAGGGGCGAGGAAGAGGATTATTGCATTGGGGGGTGAGTGGTTGGGTTCATGCTTGTTCGTGAGTGCTCGCTAGATGATGCTTGTGTTTTGGTTCCCTTTGGATTTTCGAATCGAAGGTATTTCGCTGGAAGGTGGCATTGTCATGGCTATTTTTCGTTTTAGTTCTTCTTCGACTCTATTTGGAGTTGCTCGATCTCGTGTTCTCTGTGCGTGTTTTCGTGGTTTCATAAAGGGCGGTTGGACTACGACGGTTTTAGCATGCTTGTACAGTATCCCATATCCTTAGTCGAGCGATTCAAACAATGCTTGTCCAAATCAAACGCAGTAGCAGAGGTGTATTTGCACAAAACAAACTACTTTGCCGAAACGCCTACCCGTCCAAACCCACAAGCCACCAGCAATGCAAACTCATGCTCCAGAATCCTCAGACTTTGGTCTCCTCGCTTTTTCAACATCTCGCCGACGTTTCCTATGCTCACCATCTGCCTGTCGCCCCAACGGTCCGGCCTCGCCCTCTCTCCGTCCTTGGCCTTCTTCCCTCCTCTTCCTCTCAGCTCTACGCTTCTCTTTCTCGGCGACAGCACGTTTCCCATCATACTCCTCCCTCAGCTTCCTCTTCTTCCGCTCCTTTCTCGCCTGCTTCTCACGGTCTAAGCCCTCCGCCTTCCTCCTTGCTCGCTTCTCCTCCTCCTCACTGACTACCCATGGTTGACTGAGTATCTCTTTTCGGAAAGCGGTATTTTCGGCCCAGGCAGCGGCTTCTTCGTTTGTAGTGCGGATGATGGCTGCGGGAACACGATATAGAGTCAGTCCTCGTCGCGGCTCAAGGGGGCCTGCAGACCTACATATCCGCTCAAGCAGCATCTGCCTCACTTCCCTAAACAACCCCACGCCCCCTTTCACTTTGACCACACTCCCAATATCCACCCCGCTCAGATCGACATCGCGACCGGTAGCCGTGACACCCTTATCAAAAGCATCAAGCCTGCCCAGGCCCGCCGAGCCCTCCGCTAGCGACGTAGAATTCGCATTTGGTGCCGTCGGTGTCGGTGCAGGTCTTCCGCAAGTTATTTCAATCGTAGCACCACTGCTATCGTCAAGCAGCGCGATCCAGCGCGTAGGATAGAGGTCTACGGCGACGATGACGCCGACGAGGCGGATCCATTTGATGGGGTGGTTGAGGTGGAAGAAGAGATTTTGGCCTGGAAATGTGGGGGAGGAAACGTCAGTCAGTCTGCACCATGTATGATGGATGACGGCTACTCGACGATTTGCATCCCCCAAAGCATAACGTCAGATGTAAGTAGCGGGACGTACCTTCGAAGCCCGTCCGCTCGCGAAGGGCGTGGACATCGGCGGCGGTCAGCCTGGCCCAGGTGTTGTGGGTTGGTGAGAGGGAGAAGCAATAGGCGGGGTAGAATGTCAGAGGGGCGGGAAGAGGGTTGGGCATGGCATTTTGGGTAGAAGTGGATGCCTTGACATATCTCCTGGTGAGAGTAAGTAGCTTGCGTTGGTAGTCTGGAATACGCGACACGGAAGAGTTTGGGCCCCCAAGGGCTTCACTTATCCGGTTCGAACCCCGGATGAAATGAGATTTAGCGAGACCGCTTAGGGGGCTTACCAGGGGCACCCCCGCCGAATTGTGATCACGCTAAGAGTTTTGACCCCCGAACTTTTATATGACCCTGGAAGTGGAGCCCTACCCGAGAATCATCAAAATCAATACGGACCGGTACCAATGTTACTTTCCTTGCATTTCCTTTCTCTGCATCAATATCGATGGCGCGTGGCTGCAGACCATCTGCCACGACTACCTATTCTACGAATACCATGTCAGCCGAGCTTTCCTTTTCAGTTGGTGGTGTGGGGTTGTAGTGCATGGCTCCATATGCAGGAAGAATTAGAAATCACATTGAATCCGCCAGGATTGAGTCATCCACAATGCATTGCTGTATGAAATCTAGAGCGTACGCCGCAATTGACATCAGATGTATCCATGATAAAGTCGTAATTGCTCTGGGGTTGATGAATGTGCCCATTTGAACTGGTCTCTTTAAACGAAGCCAATCAATCGTGAGCTTCACCCTTGTTGCATACTTGCATACATAACTGAGAGCATCTGCTCAGCCAGGAGAAGGTCAGTACGCTCCCTGGAAAACCTTGCATTTCAGAGCCGCCAAGCCCATGAGATCCATATTGTCTATTATTCGCAGATTTCACGTCTTCTTCTTTCTTCATCACTGGACGACATACGAGTAACATTGTCCCACCCCGATCTTATACAGAGTCACCACTTTGAAACTCAATGACTGCCAAGCAAACGGAAACAAAGACTCTCGGTGCTGTTCTTATCGGTGGATGCGGATGCTTAGGGATTTCTCTTCATCCGTGTTGAGAAATAGGATGATTATATGATACTGAAACAGGTTGTCGGGTTACCATATCATCCGAGCTTTGCTCAAAGATCCAACATGCCGGCCAATATATGCTTTGAGCCGCACGCCAAACTCCAACCTTCAAGATGGCGTTTCCTACCACGCTGGCAACATCACCGACGCAACAGCGCTCCATGCACTGCTTCAAGAAATCAAGCCGCAGGTTATCCTTCGAACCGCCTCTTCGAAATCATCTGACTTCACCGTAAAAAGGCCAGGACTACCTTGATATCCATGTGGCAAGCACAAAAAACTTGCTTGCGGCCGGAAGGATGGCTTCTTCAGTCAAGGCTTTGGTCTTCTCTTCATCAATTATGGTCTTCGCAGGTGAGGAGCACATTGACCTCGATGAGACTCGGGCTCTTTGGGAACCGCATTCCAAAGGCACACCCTATGATCTATCCAAAGCTGCCACCGAAAAGCTCGTCCCCGAGGCAAATTGTGGAGACCTCCGCACTGTGACTAATCGTCCATGCCTCATGTATGGCGAGCATTGAACAAGCTCGTTGTTTCGCGTCGTGTGCGAACGCACACCTACAACATCGACAAGGCAAGGCAAGCGCTAGGCTACAATCCTGTGCCCGAACTGGAGAATGGGGAATAAGCGCTCGGTAGAATGGAAGAAGCTGAAGCGTGAGGAGAAGAAGACGAACCTTAAGAGGAATTGATACAGTATGGTAGGCAATGTGTCAAATGTGGAGGGTCGATACTTGGAGTCAAGCCTTACTGTTGGGAATGCTCAGCCTGCAATATCTAATTCCGCGTTCCCTACCTCAAGTCTGGGCTCGAAGCTGATGTCCGGACATTTGACGTTGCTACATCAAGATTCCTACATCTCCTAGGCTAAGACCTCGCAATATCCAATGAATCGGAACAGTTTCGAAATTATCAGCAATTGCTTTTGGACTATCGTGGGAGCCTCTTCGGTTCAACGCTCGAGGAATAAATGCTGTCCCCAAAGCTCGATCTGCAAGCTTTCCCTTCCAACCTCGTTCTCCGGGCCATGCGTAAAAGGAAAGAGAAGGCCGACGCGGGAGACTCGTGGGAGGGAATACCTCTGAGGACATCCTGAGTCATATGACACAGGGCTTCAAGACTGAGCTCGTTTGAGACATCAGAGAGGCAGGCAGCCTTCAGTAGCACATCTAATGAGCCGCATTTTGAAGAAAATCAACTGCAGTATATCAAGCATGTCCGCATTGAAGAGGGGTCGTCAATATATCGTGCCGCTCTTCCTGGTGACTGCCGAGCCGTCCAAGACATTTCGGGTTGCTCGCCCGAAATCGATGATAGCTATGGGCCTTGGGGAAGTGCTCTGACAGCCGCAATTATCTCGGACTCTCCAATGGTGGTGCAAATACTGCCCGCTTCCGATGCAATCCACTGCTCAAAGATGGCCCTCTCGGTAATACGCTTCGTGCATCTGCGCTCCATGTTCAGACGCTGGTTTTGAAACTTCTCATAGTTACTGCTAAGACAGGGAACTTCTCGGATGCACGATCTAACAAACGGGGCGATGCTCTAACCTCTGCCCCTTTTTGCAACATCTCTACACAATCGAGTCTCTGCTACCGAATTACTTCTATTCCATAGCGCCAATCCATTTTCCAATCTTGTCGGTTAACCTAGACTTTCCTTAAAAATTTCAAACCCCATTTATAAAGTGACGAAGATATGTTCTATTCCTAATTAATGCTATGAAATGTAGGCTTCTCCTATAATAAGAATTTCATCTTGATATAAAGTCTTCGTGCACTTCCTTGTTCGAATATGTTAGCTTCTCTAATTTAATGTACCTTCGTAATTGTTTATCCATGTAATTTTATCAGAATTAGAGTGATTTCCCAGATTAGAGTGAGATGGAACTTTCTACCATCGATCGTCTTTCAAAGTCTCTACTTCAGAGGAACCCTTCCCCCCATCATGTATATTACCGGTTTTATGCTCGACGCAGGCCATTCTCAGCCTCCCATCAAAGCGAACAAGTCTTTCCCATCCTTCAAATCTCCCACGAAAAATCTGCACCATCATTTACGCAATAGTCTTTCTTCTAGACATCCGTCAACGACGAAACCATCAGTGAACCAAAACCCTACACAATCACCCCCATAATCACAATCATACTCCCCGCAGCTTCGATAAACATGCGATCGACCCTACCGTCATCAATGGCCTAGCCCTCCTCCAGACCCATAAAGAAGCAGCAGCAGTAGTATTTTTCACGGTCGAAGTACCTTCTCTTCTCCTTCAACAACTCTCGATGGTATCAGGCACACGCCGTCTAGAGCCACGTCGACGGACGTCAGAACCCCGCCATGGAAGCCTCGGCTCATTGCGTCTATGTGCGAGAATACGGGGATCACGAGCATCCATCGCTGTTGGTCCGCCGGCGCCAGTGGCACTTAGGCACTTCTTCGATCTTCCCTACCGCGGATATTTCATGACCGTGCACAGCTGGCTGGCTGGCTGTGTATCCGTTGGCGAGAGAGAGGAGGCGCTCTTCTTGTGATCCGTCACGTGCGGATCGATCGATATCCTGGACTACTCGATTTCGCCAAAGGTTAGTTTAGCGTGCTCGCTATGAGACGGAGCTAGGACCGAGCATGTTTCTGGGAAAGCGATATCGCGTTGGGGGAGAGGCGACGTTGTTGCTGAAGCGTTGAGGGAGGTCCTTGGTAGGGAACCACGACTTGGATACCTTGGCCGTCGTCTTCGACTCCGCACCAAAGACGTCTGTCGCGATGTAGACTGGCGTTGGGGGGGAGAGACCACGGCACAGCGTTTGCACCCCCTCTTCTCCACCAGGTGCCATTCACGTGTTAAATCAAATGAAAAATGCCCTGTCCGGTATCACTAGGACCCTCAATATTAGAACCGCGAAGACGCGGCGGAGGTGGACGGGCAGGACCAGTGCCGGAGTGGATGCCATTCATTCAGGGTGATGACGGGAAAAGGTCAAGGCGGCGATGGGGTACGGAGACGGGGAACAAGAAACAGCTAAAGCTGGAATGAAGCTTCCAATGGCTCTCCGCTCGAAGGATTGTGTTGATCGGTTCGAATGGGGCGAGGCGAGGCGATACTTTCGCAACCTCTGCCTTCACCTAGTCACTAAACGGTGGGCGTGGATTGGCCCGGATGGAAAACGAAGAGTATTGCTGACTGAAGACGACGGCTGGGTTGGCGAGCGTAGTATTCCCCTGTTCATCCGTAAGACTCCGGGATTCTGTTACAGAGCTTGGGATGGTCCCCCTGACGGTACGACAATATCTCTGTTCTCGTATTTGTCATCGGTGTCACGAGTGGAAGACTGGCGCTATGGTTATTGAAGTTGCGCTGACATTGCACTTGGGGGACCGGATGACGGGATTCCGGGTAAGTCTTTTTGGCCAAGATATGAGTCAAGGGAGGCAGGTTCGCTTTCTTCCTGAATGTGTCCTGTGGCTCGCACTAGGGTAGGGTAGGAGAAGAGAGCACTTGGCTCAGGGAGGATGCTTACGTTGGTGTGAATTGAGAAGACGTCGAGCAAAAGACAAGAGTAGTGGTGAGAGGGTTTTGACAGAGGGCAGAAGGTACAAACGCAACCAATGCCAAAAGGAGACGCAACATAAAAAGCTGCATCTTGATCCCAATGTTTTCGAGGATCTAATTTGAGCATGCGGTCGCTGGACTCGTTTACGTTTTACAGAGCGGACACAGAAAGTCTTTTTATCATGATCCACTTCGGAGCCTGGATCAGTAGCACTTTCGGCTTTTACGGTTGACCATCCCTTCCCAAAATCTAAAGCACAAGAGGACGGACAGGAAGCTACTCGCCTTACTGCAGACCAAATCGCCTAGCGCTCGTTATAGGAAAGGGCTGGAATGCGGCCTCGCCATGATGATCTCAGCGCCAAAGATCCATCCTACCATGGCTTTTAGTAACTCTGACCGGATCTGGAGTTTGCAAGCAGAGATGTGATTCCCGGTCCAAAACGGGTATGAGTGCGGTCTGCAGTTTTGGCGCATGGGGTGTCGATGCCTTCGGCGATCCCCTTGTTTCCCGTCGAGACGCTCCCTGAGGCTCGGATCTTTAATCGCCACTGTTCACAAAGCGAATCTCGATCGTTACGAGCGTCGATATCTGTCAGCATAGAGGGTTCTTGCTTTCGCACGCGATTGAAACGCGGTATGTCAAGGACATATCCCAGCACTGAAGAGATACTCTTGATTGGTTCTCCACTTGGACGAGGTAAAGCGAAATATCTAACGTTTGACCCCTTCCTGTCCAGCGACAGCAGGTGGCTGACCAGTCCAACCGGTCCAGGACCGTTAGGACGTGATGTTAAGCTTCTTGCATTCAAGACTTAGCTCCCTGGGCGGCTCATCGGTTCTGCGGGATCAGTCCAATGGGGGCGGTGGCACCTGAACCTTCACGGTAGAATGAAGCTCGTAGGGAGAGAACTCGTAATCGATGAACCAACCGAGATGCCATTCGCTAAGAAATCACTCCTTCCTCTCACCAATTTCCCCTTCTCTCCCCTCTCTCCAAGGAACAACTCAATCCTCATCCACAAACGTCCCCACCTCCGCATCCTTCTCACCCTCCAAGATCCCGCAGAATCGTCCGCCCCGACACCTCCACATCCCCCACCTTCCCCCCCGCACTCCCCTCCTCTTCGCCCTCGCCCCCCAAATTCAACTCCACCAGACCGGGACAACCGGCGAAACCCTTCACCCCCTGCTGCCCCAGCACCGTGCCATCCAACACCACGAGCATATCCAGCGCCCCTTTGCTCATCCCGTACGCCCGAGCGTCACGCCCGGAATCGAAACCGTCGCCGGTCTGCCCACGGGGTCATACACAGAGCCGAGCCCGCCGCTGATGCGAAGCGGGTACGGATTCGCCGAATCCAGCAAAAAGGGGGGCGTAAACGCTTCCGCGACGGGGAGCCGCGCCGATGACGTTGGTGTCGAAGGTGTTTTCGAGTTGGGTCCTTGGGGGTCGCGGCTTGCGAGTGTATGCCTGCGTTGTTCACCGGTACGTCCGTACGGCCGTGTTCGCTTTCAACCCGCTGGATGGCCGCGGCGACGGATGATGCGTCGGTGACGTCGGGCTGGATGCTGGATGTTGTGCCTTTGATGCCGGTCTCTGAGACGGCGGAGCTGGCTGCGTTGCCTTTTTCTATGGAGCGGCTTGCTTTTATGGTGTGGTGGTTTGCCGAGGCAGGGGTGATGACTTTGGACGCTGCGTAGCCGATGCCGGAGTTGGCACTTGTCAACACGACGGTTGATGGAGAGGACATTGCAATTGAAACGTGCAGGAGCGTCGTTTTGGTCCAGCAAAGGCTATGGGTGCAGAGGGTTATCTCTCGTATGGTCAAGTCTTTTCATTCTGATATTTTCTTGGAAGAGAAATTCGGATTCCCGCTGCTACCTCCGTCAGCAGGGTTAGTGCGGATGTATCGAAGTAACTTCACCTGCGTCTTTAGTAGCTCGAGGTCCTCTCGCCCCCGGACGTTAGGTCGTGCCGCCTTCATGTTCGCATGCTTCGTAAGTAGAGACAGAAAACAGAGATTGCTATACGAGGTAAACGAGAACCACGAGTTGAATACTGCGGCCTCAACGACAATTGGGTGAAGGATCATTTCCGTATAAACATGAGCGCTTTTGCCATTTCTATTGATATTACACAATGCTCGCTAAGGAACAAGACAATGAATTCAGAATCACTGGTTGCCCAATTTCGCGTCCTCTTCATCCGACTTTGGCACTCCAACCACCTTCGGCACGGTCACAGCGTTGATCTTGCGGAAAGCCTAAGGGAAGCCGATGTCAGCAGATGTATGTCAAGGCGTGTACTGAACCTCATCATATCACTGGCGGCAGCACAAACCTGCCACACCCAAGTATTCCAAGTGAAGGACCAACCCCAGAACAACCACCCTTCGTAATAATGCAACCACCACCAGGGGTTTGCAAGCTGATCGATACTTACATTCATGAGGGAGCTATCAGGGAGCTTGCCATCCCACTTGTCCTCGACCTTTGTGATCTTGCCTGTATCCTTGTCGTGAAAGATGTTGATCTTGCTGTCGATGGTCTGCTCTTTGCCGATGCCCTTTACGACGTAGCGGGTACGCAGGTCCATAGTGATAGGGTTGCCGCCGGAGGTGACCTCGTGGTGGAGGCGCTCGATTTCCGAGAAGGCAGCCTGGAGGCCATACCATTGAGCTTCGTATTGCTTGCGACCTTCAGCTATGGTGATAGGGTCTTGGAAGACACCGTTATCATCCCATAATTGAAGCTTCTTCAGCGATGGCCGACCTGCGAACAGCTGGGTATCGTCAGGCTTCCGTGGGACATCTGATGTTCAGCAATCGACACTTACGTCTAGCACACTTCCAACAAGCGTCTTCTTGTGTTCATCGAGACTGACGCCGCTGGCAGTCTTGATGTTGGTATTCTCAATGTTCAAGTCGCTTGTACCTGCAGGATTGGTCAGATGAGAGTGTTCAGTCGTGGTGAGAATGTAGGTAGCATACCTGAAGACATGTTGCGTGATTGATTGGAAGAGAAAGGATATATTCGGTTGGTGAGTTGACTTGGTAATGTCGAGGCCTTGATGGTTCTCTGAAAAGTGGTGGGAGAGATGGGAAGACGCATAGATGTTCTTTGAAGATTCAAAGAAGAGCTTGGAAGAAGATGAGGGAGCTGCTTTGTTATGAGTTGATGGCGACCCGAATCTACGCAACCCATTGCATCATCATTGCGGATGAACACCGTACCGTATTCGTACACTAGAGACGGATGTTCCCGCTGGACGTCTCCCTGATCTGCAAGTACTGTAGAGAGAGATCTAATTCGTGGAGCAAACGAGCTTATTAAGCATTCAGATTCGCTTAGCGGGCTATCCTATGGTCAGCCCTGAGGCGAGGCCTTGAACGAGTTCGCACGTGACCGTCACCCACGAGCCTTGGCCCTCGATTCTTGGAGGAGAAATCGTTCATCGTTTTTCGTGGCCTGCTGTTGCGACTTCTAGGATCTCCGCTTCGAGGCCGGACACATGAACATATTCAACCCCCGCTTCCTCCAGCTTTGCTCTACCAACGTTCCCTCCAACGAACTTCTCCGGCTCCTTCACGCCTACGTAGACGACTTTGATCCCACCAGTCTTCAGAATCGTATCGGTGCATGGCACGTTTCCACTCGCCCTCTTGTTGCAGGGTTCCATCGTGGTATACAGGACGAGCTTCTGCGCTGCGACTCCAGTCTCCGGCAGTTCACTTGTCTCCATCTTGGCAAGACAGCACTGCTCGGCGTGGGTATTGCCCGGGAGCTCCATGGTGTAGCCAGTGGACAAGATGGCATTTGCGACTTCGTCGACCAGGATCGCTCCGACGCAGAAATTCGTTGGCTTCCGTGGGGCTTTCTTGGCGAGTGAGAGAGCGTAGCGCATGTACGCCAAATGATCAACAGGTGCAATCGATGAGATTTCTGTCATGCTGTCTAGGTGTGAAGTCTCCTATGCGCTGCTGAATGAGCCTTTCCAATGAACTAGGTACCGATGCGGCCGCGATTGTATATGCAGGACTTTGGGTGCTGACCGTAATATTGCTCACATGAAGATCTGCACGCACCGCTCTGCACGCCAAGACTCCTGCGCCAAGATCTGAGATAAACCTCCGGATCACTCGCGCTCGGCACATTCTTCTCGCCGGAGATAGTAACGGTGCTGAGCTCGCATTATCAATCATACAGGTCATTTCTCCGCTTCCAGCGCCCAAAAGCAGCGAGGCGGACACCCCACCATTTCGATCTCATGGGAACATTGTAGAGCTACCGATGCCAGCGGGACTCGCATTCCAATCCCCTAGTATGGACAACCAGCACAACACATTGCCATCTTAGGCGGCAGATCCGACTACGGTATCGTTCCTGATGATCCACCTGACTACGATGCGGACTCTCCCACCAACGATGTATGGTCTCCCAAGCCTCCTTGGGGAAATTACTACTGCGAAATTTCCATGCTGTACCACCCCTTCGTATGCCCTATGGCTTCAAAGAGCTGGAATGGTGTGCCCCCTATATGTATGAAAATTGGGAGCAACGACCGAATTGTCGACGGGGAAATGTAGTAGCTCAGCTTGCTGCCAGACAAGGCGTGCCTGTGGTATCGGACGAGTATGAGCTTATGCCACACAATTGGCCCATGGTGGTCCCGGACCACCCTCATTCTATCAAATGCTATCATCCTTGGGCAGACACGTGCTCACGGTTTGTGCAAGGCGCGCCAGTCACAGCGAAGTGAATATTCCCGGAACTCGGAAGCCTGCCCACACGCTGTCTCCGTGTCGAGAATCTCACGCACCTCACTGAGGAGGAAGTTGAGAGCCTGATGAGGGACAAGCAGAAGATCATACGACATTTCACAGGTCGTCCAGCTGTGGAGTCCCTGCTCTAGTCATCATTGTTGTCTTTCGCGCGACGATGGAGCATGTTACAAGTCACGTGCTTCCTAGCTCGGTGAATTCGTCTATTGGAGCTAGTATACGGCTAAAGATTCTCGGCGGCTGGTCCTAGTCATACAAAAAATGATCCGGGGGAACTTGAATCATCCAATTCACGCCATACCTAGCCGCGGGCTTTCTTCGAATTGGAAATAAACAAGGCCCCTGCACGGCAAGCCTTGAATACCTCTCATTGTTCCTTGGGATTGAAGCTCGGTAGAACCAATTCGTTTCCTGGTACTATGTCGCCTTCGCGCGCATAAAGTGCATCCAGTGCATCTTTGTAAAGCTCTAAAGTTGGGCACCGTTGTACCGTCCCTTTGCCAGCGCGCCGCATAGGCTGCAGCAGATTGGTATCCAGGATATGCGACTTGGAGACTCGGGTGCCCATTTTGTACGTCCGGTTGGCTTCTTCGATGATTGGCCAGATCCGCTCAGTGAGTTCTTGTTCTGCAGGCGATGAAAGAGGCTGATCACCTGCCCGCTCGATGATGAGTGCTGGTTGAGATCTGCCTGTCCCAGCCATCAACACCGCTCGTACCTCCGAGTGTTGCGATACATGCTGTTCCATGGAGATTTGATTGCACATGTAGCCTTGCTTAAAAAGAATAGTGTCGTCTGCCCTGCCACGGTATGCCCAAAGATCCTTTTTGAGGGGTGAGGCGCCCACAGATCTTTAGTCGGGTACTCTTGGAGATGCGGGAATAGCTTGAAAACTGGCTGTTCGTTCTCCGACACGGTATTTTTGACTATGAAGGCCTCGGATCGTCCGTGCAGTGAAGGTCGGAATTCAATTCCAGCCGCTGGATGAGGGTGAATATATTTCCAGTCCTCAGAAGGGTATTTTCCTGATGGTCGAAGCATGGGAAAGCTGCCTGTCTCAGTGGAGCCGTTGAAGTTAGAGAGCTTGATTTGGAAGCAAGAGCATCGCCGGACCATTGCGAAACATCTCCGCCCGCATACGTCACTGTTTCAATGTTGCTTGCGATGAAAACTACCATATCAGGGCTTTTCGCGATCTGTTCCAGAAACGGTGGCGCAAGGATTAGTGCGTCTGCTTTTACGTGTTTGAGACCGTCAACAACCGATCGAGCGGAAGGCGTGACTGCTGCCAGTGGTGTGATAACGGTCGTTTGGTTAGCGATTGCGTCGAACAAAGTAGCAAATAGGTTTCCAGCCTGTCCATTATCATAAGTCGGATGCTCTATAGAGGAAAGGGTCGTGGTTCTGAAGGCATGTGGGAAACAATTTCTTGAACACTCACGTGGGAGAATGGCAGCGTGACGAAGAAGCGGTTCGACTGACAAAGCGAGACCTGGGTTTCGAAACCCGGAGGTGGTTCTAGTTGGCTCCATTGGATATAGCTGGCGGCGAAATCGTGGGAATAGACAATTGGTTTCGGCACTGCTGTTGTACCTGACGTATGAACGACGACCAAGGGCTCATTCCGTGCCTCCGCAAAGCTGTTACGGAAAGGGTAGTGAGGATAAGCAGTGGTAAGTAACTAATCTAGGCGTGGGCTGTCGAGTACTTGAAGTGGACGCGCCTTCAGAATACCTTTCACTGTCAGCGAATGCGGTGCGGGAGGTGTCAGCAAGACTCGACACCCGGTTGCATCGAATAAGCTGATATGGTCAGCGGCCGTGTTGCGCGGAAATACGAGCAGTAGCTACGAAAGGGTCTTTTGTAAGCACGCTGTTGACTTATCAAGCCGTGCACCAACCTTACATCCGGCCTTCACAGCACCTAAGATCATCATCACATATCCCCAGTTCATTGGGACCATTGTATGCCAAGGTCTGGTGATTTTGACCTTCACCGAGCATCCCTTTCAGTGACCAAGCTACGCCATTAACAGCGTTGGCAAGTGCGCCGTAAGTGACCTTGCGATAACCATCCTCATAGCTGTCAGAGGATCGAGGAACTTCTGCGTATATCGCCGACGGTCTTGTCTGGGCCATCCCATCGACGATGTTGTTCAGGAGATGTTTATTCCGGTAAAGAATCGATGGGGGATTCTCCCCCCCTTTCGGAAAACTGCAGTGTAGCCATGATATATGAGGTTGAGCTTCGTGAGCGTCAGTGTTGGTATTGATGATACATGGTTCTGAGAGCAAAAGAATTCCCGGGAAGAAAAGTATGAGATCGTGTGGACTTGTTGATAAATCACGAGAGATAATGCCATCGAGGTCTACTTTTTACTTGCTTGATGAAAAAGAACGTCGAGCTCAGCTTGTCTGCATGTACTCAGCCGTATCTAAGCCAGTTCAAACAGCGATACTCTACTTTACACTATCTGTGTAATCTAAGACAGACGGAAGACCATTCGTTGGTACCTAAGTCAAATGATCGACAGGTGCAACCGACGTGACTTCTGTCAAACTGTCTAAGCGTTGATGGGCCTGGAACTAGGGTGGTGCTAATTGCCACTCAACCACGGGAGCTACCGGCAAAAAGTCTATCCTACAAATCATGTCCAGTGCCCACAGCGTTGAATCTTCGATCCGCGCCTGAATACCTAGAGTAGGGCTTTCCAATGAACCAGGTTGAGTATGCTCGAGGGTCCTGGAAGCGAAACAAGCTAAAGCCAGAGTAGTAAGGCTCGTGGGCCAAGGCTAAGGCTAGTACAGACGAGGAAAGCTGTGCGAAGGGCGTTGGCGACGGGGAATTTGACCCCGCATTTGCCTAGAGATTGGAAAATTGGCGAGCTGAGTGCCAACATGCTTAACCATACTCTTTATATGCAACAGGGATTTACCATCCAACATCAAATCTCTTGCATCCTTGATATGGAGCCCAACTCTGCATCAAAGGAAGATGCTTCAACCATTTGAGCAGTCGAATCCGGCTTTTGTATTGATGAAGATCTCTCACATCCTCAAGGCGATGTTTTGGCAAAACTGCTTTGAAACGCCGACGATGAAGCCAATTAGCGAGGAAACGGGCTGAGTGCGTGGCACAATTAGACATCACGTTTTCCTGGGCAAATTGCCTACCGTGCAAGGAGTCCGTCCTGCCCCCACAAGTAGCTGAAGGCGCAGCCGAATGGCAGGTAACCGAGCCGTGTAGTTCGGTGTATATAATTTGTCGTCGCCGTCTGTCAATCATGGTTATATATTCTTCGCTACTGTCAGAGAAGTTGTCGCGCTGGTCTTCGCTGAGTGATATCTTCTGTTGTCTTATAAACTCTCCGAGCTCCCACGACCATCTTCAGACCTCTTCTCGATCCATCCCTGAGTTACCGGTAAGATGGCGGTCGACTATCGCAGCGGCGTGTCTATCCTCCTCTTGATCTTCTACCTCCCAGCGCTCGCGGTTGCAATCCTCCTCACTATCCGCCATGGCTTCAGGAGATCCGCCGGCTGGCGCTTCATGATCATCTTCACCCTAGCTCGCTTCCTCTGCGCATGCTTCCAGCTCGCTACTATCAATCAGCCAAGAAATGCGTCCCTATACGTCGGCTATACCGTTCTCATCGGTATCGCCGTCTCCCCTCTTGAGCTGGTGGCTTTTGGGTAAGTACATTCTTTACAAAGACTTATCCGGTTTCCAAGGAGTGGGAGACGCGTCCGGCGTCGAGAGCCCATTCTGCTCTACAGACTTATTTATCTCAATCATTGCCCTGAACCAAAATTGCTAAGTCCACTTTCTGTGCAGCCTGTTGAGCCGAATCACAGAGAGCATCAACAAATTCCACCAGACGCTCGTCACCGTGCGACATCTACAGCTTGCCGAACTGCTCAACACTGTGGGTATCATCCTCAGTATCGTCGGTGGCGTGGACTCCGGCAATGATTACCACAAGACCGGTCGTTACGTTCCGCAGACGCTGACCAAAGTCGGCCTCGGACTCTTTATCGCTTCTTTCGTCGCCATCCTAGCAACCACGGCCATTCTATCCTCGTCCATCTCGCATGCCGAACCGGGCGAGAAAAGAATCCTGCTTGCCGTTGCGGTGTCGCTGCCGCTGCTCCTCGTCAGACTGATATATTCTTCCGTCTACAATTTCGGGGACGTTTCGAACTTCAGCTCCCTCAGTGGGAGCGTCACCATTTTGCTGTGTATGGCGCTGTTGGAGGAGATCGCCATAGTGCTGATCTATGAGGGTGTCGGCCTGACGCTGAGGAAAATTGGCAAGCAGGACGGTGCCACAGGTGAGCAAATTGGACTCGTTCAGAGGTGCTTGGGCTGATGATTCGCTGGGTGATAGGCCATACTCAGTCGAAATTTACGAAGAATGATGTAGAGACCCGCGGCCAGGAACTTGGAAGCATGTGAGGGCGTCCTAGAAGGCGGTAGGCAGTAGAGTCAGGAGGTATGACTCCCCTTTGCGATGACGTGGGGGACACTGAGCAGAACGGTCAACCATTTCGAATGAATTACGGCCTCTCGTGAGTCGAATTGGGCTTGATACTGTGCATCATCGAGTTTTTTTTGGAACCCCCGTCTGCATCTTTAGATAGATTTTCGCCACCGTTCACATGACAATCCATTCTTCCAGAGCACTGCCGACCCATATGTCATGTCGCGAAAACTTGACCGCATCCATAGACAAACAAAATCATCGCTCCTGGCTCTAAATCTATTCTTCCTCGGACGTTTTATCGTGTTGCTCTTTACATCCGTCCCCCACTTCCCTCCTCCACGCTCACCCTTCATCAAGCAATAGATATCCGTCAAGATCAAAAAAGCCCCGCGACATTTCCTCCCCCCTCAAACGCCCCAGCGGGCTGCTTTTCCAAAATTGGTACATAGCGTGTGAAAGTGCCACAGGTTAGCGGCCGCGAACCCTCCAGGATCGATCCGCAGCTCAGCCTCGACCATATGGTTTGCGTTTCGATACCTCCCGTATCCTTAGACATCCATAGCAAGCACGGACGCGGAGGGGGCGGGAACCGGCTTGCGCGGAGAGAGCCATACAATCAATGGACGGGAAGCCAGTTACTCTCGACGGGGGTTCGTGGGGGGTGGAAGACGGTTTCAGGATGTGTCGGGGATACGCGGGCTTATGAATACATGACGCTGGGCCTTTTTTTTTTTTTTTCTTTTTTTGTTTGGCAGAGAGATGTTATCGGACGGATGTGGATTGTCTTGGCTTCGAGGTCGGTGAGGGTTTTCGGCGGTTTGATGACTTGGAATAGGTAGGGAGGAGATGCGGGGAGGAGATATCCAGGGATGGCGCACTCGGTGAGAGGGAGGGGGGGAAGGATGGATTCGGTCCGGGCTGAGATGTTACACTGAGGGCTTTTTGCGCGTCTTGGTTGGAGATGGATCTTTAGACGGGTGCGGAGTTTTACGAGGCGTGCTTCTGGTGGCTTTCAGCGACGAGCGTGCACTTGATGTGTCTTCTGCGTTGGATGAGGTGTTCGGTTGTGTTCGTTGAGTGATCGCGATAAGGACTGTTGCTTTCGATGGTTTGTTCACTCAAAGGCCAACCTTTCCGGCTCCCCAGTTCTTCTGCCGCCCTTTTGTTTTCTTGAACCGACTCTACGAATCACCACCCGGTCACAGGAAATTTGGAAGGAGGTTACGGAATGTCTGTGGCCGTATGTAAGTGAACATTAGATGCAGTGATATTCCTTCAGCAGAGCAGGCAGACATCGAATTCTTGTCATCTCACAATACGGAATGAGACACGAGAGAGCAAGCTCCAAAGCCGATCCCAAACAACGCTCGCAGTTGGAGAAGCTGTACTGGCGATACCCTGCCTCGGTATCCGAGACTCCTGAAACAACCAACGCTCGGAGAGGAATACTTGGACAGGTGGGCGAATCATGTCAACGCGGAAGTCTCCGATAGGATCTTTTGTGACCCCTGCATGGCTCTTAGATCTGTCGAATAGAACATGCGTTTGGGGCGAGATACGGATGAGTGCGTTACTGTTGCTGGTATTGCGACTCACTGCAGCCTTCGAGAAGATGTGTGTCTTTCTGAAGGTGCCATTATCAAAGACTTGCTTCGCTTTGTTATCGTGACTAGCCGAGGAGAAATCGAAGCGAGATCGGTGACGGTCGATTCAATGCACAAGTTTGTGGAGTGGCTTTGTGCTCGTCTCGCTCAAAAGCTTGGTCATATTTATTTACTACTGCTGTCCATGGTATGAAAGGGTTCCACAACACGAATTTCTGCGACCTTTGAGACTTGCAATCGCGCCCGCCTTGAATGCGTCGAAGAATCGCCCTCATGCACCAGAACAGCTGTTACCGCACCGAGGTTACGACACGGTCCAATACCGCCTCCAGAACACAAAATCCGGTTCCGTGATCGGTGAACGTCTCTCCCCCGATCTATCACGAAGTAGATACGAGGCTCACATTGCCGTATGCCGATGCGGACAACGGGTCCTCGGCCCAAACTGAAATCGAGAGATCATCGTCATCACCTTCAAAGCGTGTGTAAGCCACAATCGACCATCGAAGGCCTCTGCTCTGACGTACTAAGACCATGCCAGATCCCTCCCTTCCCCACCGAGATACACACGGCATTGATTGCAACGACAGCCTCCCACAATCTATACCAGCTCCCTTTCCTCACCTGCGTCGATCTCACGTTGATGCGTGCATGACACACCCCGTCTGTACAGCGGTCAGGATAGCCTGTCGGTCCAGGTAATCATGGATACTTACCGGGAGACTTCCAATCGAGAGGCGTCTTGTATTGCGGGTGGGTCCAACTCGACCCAAAGGTACTATTTGTCGCGGTAGTAGGCATACGATCTGCGAGGCTATTGCAGGACTGTAGGAAGCTTGGGGAAAACGTCCCGGTCCCACACTCCACTTCAGATTTGAACAGCTTTACGGCTACTCCGAGATTGTTGTCTCCTCCTGATCACCTTGTTCAGCATAGTCGCATTACCAAATCTGAAGAACAACACAACATTTTCCCTTACCAAAATTATACGCGAACCCTCCAGTCGGTGGAACGCCATCAGAAGCGCAGTGCCGAATGATCCCCAGGGCTGCCAGCCCGGCATCCGTTGGCTTCGCTCTCGCAGACATCATGCCTGGTCTGACTCTGGGCTCGATCGCGCAGGTCCCATCCGCTTAGAGTCTTTAGCTTCTCGATTGATGGGGATTGAGATTGCGAAATACCTACAGCTCAGATACCGCTTCGGAAGGTAGACGTCATACGTGGGATCACGGTCCGTTCTCCTGCGAGGCCCGAAACTCAACTCCCTTTCTATCGCTGGGATGTGTGTCCATGCGTCCAGGCAGCTTCGTGGATTGAGGTCTCGGCCAAACCGGCTTTCGTCGCACACGCAATTGAATCGGATAGGGGCCGTCAGGTTGATAGGTGAAAGGGAAGCCGTATTCCATCGCTCAGGAGGTCTAGGTTGTGGAAGAACAATTAAGGACCCGTTTGTTGTCTTTTGGTTGAGGACTTCGGCCGGCAAAGCTGGAACAGTCGCTGGATTTGCTTGTGCGAGAGACTGTGCAGGCTGTAGCACTGCCGCGGAAGAAAAACAGATGCCTGATAGAGCAGTGATCAGGCGCAGAGTAACCATCGTGGGAAATCAACGAATCTTATAGAAGTGTAGATTGGCGAAAGGAAAGGTAAGATGCATACATGGCATTCCTCCTTCGCGAAGCCTTTGAAGCGGATCGCACAGCCCCGCGCGTATATGATGACTCCCGGCAAGGAAAGTTCTGCGCCTGAAACAAACATGTTGCAAGAAGGACACCCGGGAGGAAACAACGTTCGCGCTGGCAGCGCGTGACAAGAGTTGATACTTGAGCCTCGCTTCTCGCCCCTACGCTTGATGATTCTGCTTCTGCTTCTTTCGGTAGCGCCGTAGCGGCTCCAATACAACAGCACTTACAGCACGACCCGACGCTTGTCGCGAAAGATGCGCTTGATCCCCACTGACAAACGCAGAGTATTTCGCGAGCGCAATTTTTCTACAACATAGGTCTAATATACATTACTTTCCAACGGGGGATTGTCGTTGTCTCAGCAAGCTTGTTAGATCTGTCGACCAGGTCAGTTGTATCTGCATATATCGCGCCTGCTGCACTCCTCGGTCGGTTACGTAGGTGTTGAAAGTTGAGGGTCGAGGGTGGTGGAGAGGTCTACCTTGGGCCTGAAACGAACATCTCGCATAAATGATCAGGTATTTGTACCGGGGCTGAGATCTGAGCCTCGCTTAAAGACCTCAGACCGACATGTTTGCAGCACGAACCGCCGCCCTAGGGCCCTAACTACCACATGAAAACCCACGTGTTGATTCGTTGAAATTACCAGGCTTTCTCACAAGTATACAGTTGAACCCTCATGTTAGTCAAGTCTTCGAGCTTGTATCTTATCATCTTTGCGTACGTATGTTACAATTTCTTTGATTCCTTAGCATTAGGCCGGACTATAAGGATTCAGATCGATGCTAGCGGCTTAGGGACGGTTAACGTTAGGACTAGAATCAGCACAGCCGACCGTACGAGTAACCCTAATCGGAGCCGACAAACTATCAAACACAAGGCATGTCGCGAATTGCTCAATACAACAGTGCTCGCCAAGTCTGACAATAGCGAACCCTCGAGGGTAGTCACGTCACGCTCTCAAGTGAACGAGGACTGACTACAAAGTACGTCCTAGCCTTGGATCTGCTCGGTCCAATGTCTCGGCCGCACCCTAGGCTTTGGAGAGCATGTCGATATAGTTTCACTCCACCAACATCTCACTTCTACGATAATCTCATATTCCGGACGAAAAGCGATAGTGGATGAAAAGGTTGGTCTCCACACATGGCTAGGACTATTTGGCACGATGTGTAGAAAGACGTCCGACGTTGCACGACGACGCCTCATCCTTGTTTTGTACAAAATCTCCCAGACGTCTGCGGGTTCTCTTCTCTAAAGCTCGATATCGGTGAATTCGCCAGGTCTGTGTGAAATAATCTTGGGCTGAAGAGGTTACATGGTCGTTCTGGAGCGGCTGAGGCTTGTGTTCTACTAGAATGGATGAACGGTCAGTAAACGCCCTACTGATTCAACCACGCAAAACATTTTCCCTGCCTCGCCCAATGAGCTTTCTTGGTTTGGTGGTTCTCGTCGTTTCTTGTCTCAGCCAGGACCTCGTTTGTACAATGACCTTACCTACTTGGCTTGTGCTTGTGCCACAAAAGAGTCTCCACAGCTCGTTGGGTTTCCGTAATATATCAAACCATCTTACAGGATATGCTCCCAGTGACGGAGACTTGGGCTCATATTTGACTATTGTTTTGCTCTCGAGAAAGAATCGGCCCCCGAGAAAGAATGAGACATAATGAAACTATGTTGGATCGTACTCAGTGCACAAATAAAGGCTGCGCCATGATCCTTACGTTTTTTTGCTTTAGCATCTACGTCCCAATCGCCGAAGTAGTGGCCCAGGATAGCGATCAAGTGGAGGATCCAATTATCAACATTGCTTTATTCACACCTCGACTGGATTAGACTGCACATCGCCGTCAGACATGATACACGCTGTGCTAGGAGACCCAGCTAAAGATTCGCATGTCTTCAAGGCCTAGCTCCTGGCTGAGAAGTTTCGCGTTTGGATCATCTCATTTCATTCTAGCTCGAACTTGCCAAAGCCTTTCAGACCTAGTCTCGTGCGTAATTACCGTCTATATAAGGCTCAATAATTCCCCAAATCTTTCCCAGCCAGCAACCGTCTCAAGCACTCATTAGATATTCACCCAGTCTCCATGAAGCCAGCTTCGACCGTCAAAGCCTCTCCTTCACCACTCCTCAAACCCCACATTCCCTTAACCTCAAAAACCTGACCACCATACCAAAAATTGCATTTCTCGGCAACCGTCATCGCGACGCTTGTATCCATGGGATACTTCGCCGTTCCCTCTCCGGCCCAGCCCCAGCCGACGCCACCAAGGCCACAGCCGTGACCGCCGCTCCCATCGTCGCCGGCGGAACCCCCGTCACCAACATCGACACCGCCGCCGGCACCACCGGCCAAGCGCACGTGCGCAACCACTGCGCCTTCCCCGTGTACCTCTACGTCTGTGGCGGAGGCGAAGACAACGGCGTCCCCGCCTGCAGCCCCATCCACGAGCTCGCCGCCCGCACCGGCACCTACGCCGAGACCTACGTCTCCCCCCACAACGGCCGCTCCGTCAAGATGGGCAAGGTGACGGGGGAGGTCGAGAAGCCGATCCTGCAGCTCGAGTACACGAACTCGGGCGCCGGGCAGGTCAGCTACGACCTCAGCGAGGTCAACGGCAACCCCTTCGGCCCGTACGGCTTCTCGCTCACGAGCTCCAATCCGGGTTGCTTCCAGAGCCATCGCGCGCCGCCCGCGACGTCTTGCCCCGGTGTCTTCACCGACCCGACGAATGGCGTTCCTCATGACTGTCCGATCGGCGATGGCATTGGTGTTACTCTTTGCGGATAGATTCTGCGAAATCAAGCTTTTTCTGGAATGGTTGGCCGGCAGATGGGGGGATGGGACTGTTGAGTGATGGGTGGCCGTGGTCTGCATTGATTTCGCTGTTGCTGTTTAGTTCCTCGTATGCTTTATTCACCCGCAAGTCACTCGTTTGATATACTTGGATTTCAACTCCTTGTGATGAAGGATAACAGCTGTTGTATTGCGTTCAAAGACTGATTTATGTAGCAATTGACAATCAAAAAGCAAGACTTGAACGAGAGTGAATTGCCTCGCCTCCCAACCCCACCCCACCTTCATCTCCAATACTTGTCATCGTATACATAACTCTTTCGGCGTCGTACAAACCCCATCTAAAACCCCAAAGCTGCAAATTGTGTACTCGGATCTATACAAGATCAACAACTTCTCTGATGCAAATTGACGTCCTCCCCCGCGGCTGCTGGTAGCGAGACCAACATTCATAGAAGGACTGTATGGTCCGCGGGAGAGTGGTTGGTAAGGCTCCTTATCTTGAATTGAGATGAGTCTCTTTCCTTGCATTTGATGTAAGATTGCGGGGAGTAGCTCCACCGATCATTGAAAATCTCTGGATACCGACATCTGTTCAGAAACAGCGAGTATTCATCGAAAGATTCCCACGAGGAGTACGAGATGATGTGACTTGTGCTTTGGGTGCGATGGGGGCGGAGGAAAGAGAAACCGGGTATTCAGGTAAGCTTCCATCAGCCTTCTGCAATGTCCTGCTTTTTTGGTATTGTCGAGAATCAAAAGAGCCCTTTCGGAACATCGGCGCACAAAAAGACTAGCCATGAAACCATTGTTCTTTCGAACAAATACTCTCAATAACGACGATGAAAGTCATATAGGTTTTCATTGTCCAGTACAATGAATGTTTGTAATGGCGTTGTATTATTGACCGTGTTGTAAGTCAAAGAAGTAGTGGAATGTTCTCTTCTTCTCTATCTTATCTTGATTTTCTCCCCACAACAACTATCCTTCGCGAATAAACCTTCGATATAATTTAACACTCCACTACTATTACACGCCCAGAGAACCATACACGAATCAAGATATGTCTCGACACGACTTCGAGGATGGAGGCATGGGGGATTTTGCGGACAGCCCTGAAGGTATGAACAAGGGTTCGTGCCACCAGTCTACTCGAGGCGGCATCGAGGATGGTCAAGGTAACGCAAAGCATGTGAATGGGTTTGTGGAAGAGAAAAAAGCCCAGCATGCAGAATATCCGCAAGGAGGACACCGGCATGGAGAACGTCGACATGGAGAACATCGGCCCAAGGAACATCGGCAAAAAGAACATGGGCACAAGGAACATGGGCATGAGGAACATCGGCAAAAAGAACATCGGCACAAGGAGCACCGGCCGAAAGAACATGGGCATGAGGAGAATGGGCCAAAAGAGCATCGGCACAAGGAGCACCGGCCGAAGGATCATGGGCATGAGGAAAATCAGCATAAAGAACATCGGCACAAGGAGCACCGGCCGAAAGAACATGAGGAGAATGGGCCAAAAGAGCATCAGCACAAGGAGCACCGGTCGAAGGAACATGAGCATGAGGAAAATCGGCATAAAGAACATCGGCACAAGGAGCACCGGCCGAAAGAACATGAGCATGAGGAGAATGGGCAAAAAGAACATCGGCACAAGGAACATGGGCGTGACGAACAGGGGCACGATGAACATCGAACCAAGGAACATCGGCCCAAGGAGCCCAAGGAACACCGGCACAAGGAACATGGGCGTGACGAAAATGGGCACGACGAGCATCGAACCAAGGAACACCGGCACAAGGAACACCGTCAAGGAGAGCCCAGCGACGGGAAACACCAACATAAGGAGCGAGATAAAGGACACCAAAAGACAGAGGACGCAATGACAAAGTTCAGCAAAAAGCTGTATAAATCTGCTCTCACCCATTTCCGCGAAAACAGCGGATCGTCCTACCCGTGCACGCAGAGCGAGATTGACTTCCACCACCATGGCGTGTTCGAAAAACCAAACAAAGGCCCCTTCGTGACTGCCATTCAAGCAACAGAAGAAGTCATGCGCTGGAACGACGCGAAGAGAGCACCCCCCCGAGAGGAACTGGCTATCATCCGGAAGCTAGCCATCGCCGTTCACGACGCCGAAAAAAACCTCCTCTTCGGTCCCGACCTCGCGATCAAGGCTTTCGCGGACCTCGATCGTGTCTTCTTCGGCGGACGACTCCGGGGTCACGTCGCGGTGCAGTGGGTCAAGAGCGTGAATCCGGATGGGAGGGTGGGAGAAGCGGCACACTGCAAGACGGGACAATGCCACATCAGGTTGAGCGCGGGGGAAATCTTCACGAGGAAGTGGCGCGAGATCGGTAAGAACCCCGTGGCGATCACGTTCGGCACCTTGCTGCATGAGATGTGCCACGCTTATGATATGGTAAGATGCCCGCAGGAGGCGTGGCGAGGCGACTGCCACGACGAGCTTTTTGGAACCAAGATTTCCGTCGTCCATGACCGCGCCACCCATATTCTGGGAACGTGGGCGATTAGAGTCTAGCAGCCGCCGCATAGACAGCACCAGTTCTTGCCGAAAGAGGGCCTAGAAGGGAAGTTCGAGTTGGGGAGCGCGTAAGGGTACCGATTGTGTGGTGATGTAGATAGTCACTTTCCATGTTTAGTTGTACTATTTGTTTTGGATAAGTGCAATCCAGTACTTGCTTTTGGCCTCTTCTCATTCCAAGATCATGGGTGCATATCTGTGGCTGGGAAAACAGTAACGCCTCCGTTTGCTTTCGAGTCCTATCTGTCGAAGGATCGGGAAAAAATAGAGACGCAAGATTCCGTCACGTGATCAGGCTTCTCCAAAAAACGGCTTTACGAATTGAAGACAATCACAAATCTGCTGACACAACTATCGTGCTTGAAATCAACGGCGTGAAGACTGCAGAAGGGTCATTCCCAAAGACCACGGTGCCGCATGGCATTCTAGATGGGCTTGAAATCACGAGATAAGGTGATCAACGCTTGTATACTCAAAGATCCTTGGTAGATGTGTCGAGCAGGCTGATATCCCCTCGAGTTGATCAAAGGTCTCCGTCACTTTCGATTTCCAGTCTCGCTTTCTTCATACCCCAGTAGCTCGAATCCCACTATCAGCCAACCTATCAAAGAACCCGACCTTTGCGCGCGGCTTTTCCTGCTAGATGCGCGCGTGGTTGGAACTCAACACGACATTCTGACCGACGGGATTCCACAACTCCAGGGCCCAAGCTTGGAGCCAACTTTTCAACGACCAGACTTCCCCCCAAACTCCAGCTCTCTTGGAAATAGGCTTGTACGAGGGTGTCCACAGTACAGACCGTGAGCGTCGTGATGGTTGAAAGTCGATAATAACACTTCGAAAACGCGTCATAGTCGCGAGGTCTTGGAAGAAACCAGTCTCCACGACCCGAAAACCCTTCCATCCATCAATCTCTAGCTTAAGTCGAAGGGTATTTCTCGGGGTCGCCGGTCCACTGAAGCCGAGAATGATGTGACGTCAGACTGACGCTTCGTATTCAGTATCGTCCTCGTAGATATGATCGTACATCATCGTATCCATCCGGAAACGCACATTCTGAATGAGGGGCAGCCCTGGATGAGTAAGATGATGCTTCTTATTTAGCCGTGGGCTGAACTTCCAGAGATTAATGTTGAACAGGGTTTCTGAGTAGAGCACGTCCATTGCCTCCCGACTGATTGCTTTCGAAGTCTGAAAGATGGCAGCGTTTTGGTAGACGAGTTGACCGACTTCGTAGCTCTGATGTAACATCGTAGAGATTGGCAGAATGCCACGGCATTGTTCGGGGAGTACAAGGCGATAGATGATCATCCTCACTTCTGTGGGAATGCGGGTAAAGCTCCCGATCGAAGATGGGTCGTCCATGTTGTAGCTTGACTGCTGACTGTTACCGGCTGAAGGTCCGCGACTTAGCTGGAGCGCTTGTTCCGAGGCGCTTGCTGAGTTGGGCTCCGAATTAAGGCGGAGCTTTGGTGAATTTGTTGAGAGATTCTTTGTGGACGAGGAAGCTAGAAGACTGGGAGTGGAATGTTGAGGTTGGGTATGGACAAAGTGCAAAGCTGAAGGGAATGCTGAAACGGTGCTTTGTCCAGGAAAGTGATCTCTTGAGGTGGTGTTTATAAGAGTGTTGAAGCCCGGTCCACACGGGTGTTGAAGAATATGGACGGCACCCGGATGCGAGCCGGATGGTAGCTAAAGAGTCGTTTATCCATTTGCAAGAGCTAAAGTAAGTCAGTGTGGTCAAAACCTCACGAACCTTTCAAACTCTTCGCCGGCCAAAACCTTCCTCTACCTTATGCATGGCTCTTGCTACATGATCTTACTAGATAGCCAACCCAATTGTTAAAAACGAATCTCGCGAATGTGAAATGAGCACATTAATGGGCCCCTGCGGCCTACCTATGTCATGTCCACAACGAAGGAACAATGATGCACAAATACCGGGCAACAGCAGCAACCATTGCTCTCAACAGAATTTATGAGCGCTAGCTAATCGGTTCAGCATGGCGAGGATACCACAATCGGCATTTGGCTCTTAAGTAAGATGGTAGGAAGTGTGCCATACAGCGAGGGGTCACTGGCCTCGTCGAGGCGGCACTCCATGTATCAGAATTGCATGAGAATCATTCCGTGAGAAATAGTCTAAGACGATCTTTCAGCACCTTGAAGCAGCCCCTCGTTGCGGGTTCTCTCAGAACGGGAGTTTTTATCGCTAGCCCAAGCAGCAGTGAGCAGCAGACGCCATCGATAGGGAGCAAGATTTGTGGACCATCTGGAGCGCAGCCTACATCTTCCAGCGTGAATGCTTCATCTGTTCAGGTCAAACGCTGGTGGGAAAAGGACGGTTGGTCTTGATAGCTGTTCCACAGTAAGTATTTCAGAGCCTTAGAGGCACTCATCATTGCTTGCCAGGCCTATGCTCCAAACTTCGTTTTTAATTCCACAAATCTTCGTCCCCAATTGCCGATCCTTACCTCACCAAGGTAATTGTAGAGGCGTGCTCAGATCCTTGCCTAGTACAGCTTCCGAAGTCCCGATATCCCTATATCGAGCATGAGTTGGCAGCGCAGCTGATATGGGCCAGAGGGTGCTTACCGTGGTCCGCGGGGCGCCCAATATTCACCTGTTTTCTCTATGTCGAATGTCTCGATGAACTTAATCAGGGACTTAGCGGCTTCGTCTGGCGTGACAGCTATACAAAAGAGCCTATTAGTGCTATGGCACACAAAGCCATGCGGGAGATGATGGGTCCCTACCGCCGCCATCATCCCAGAACTTATCAAACCCAACACCTCTCGTCATCTCCGTCCTCATGAACCCCGGATGCACAATCCCCACCGCTACGCCCTTCTCCTTCAGATCCAGACTCAATAGCTTCCCAACCATGTTCAACGCACTCTTGCTGGCATGATGTCCGTAATTCCCTCCTCCCTCGCTCTCATGCCTCAACGTGATACTGCCGCTCTCGCTGCTGACAAGTATAATCTTGCTCCCCTTGGCGAGCAGGCCAGCTTTGACGAGGTAGTGCACAATGAATACAGGACCGATGGAGCTGGTGGTGTACATTTTGACTTGGTTGTCCCATGAAGGTGAGTCGAAGGACTCGGTTGCGAAGTAGCCGGCTGTTATTATGACGGTGTCGAGAGTCTTCTTGCCGATATGGGATGCGAGTTTCTCGCCTGCATCTTCCTTGGCGACGTCGATGTCGGGGATGTATTCAATATTCTTGAATGATTCTGGGGCCTTGTCCGAGCGACTGGTCGCGAATACGGTGTTGTTTGAGGCGTACTGTTTGGCTAGTTCGGCTCCTAGGCCTCGCGATGCTCCGACTATGAGGATGTAGGGCATTTTGGCTATGTGGGCTGTGATTTTCGTAACCGCGTGCTGTCAGAATATCGAGGTGTGAAGGAAGAATTGAATGCTGTTGGTTTGATCGGAAGGAAATGATGAAATAATCACGCAAAGCGGAAGCTCACCGTATTCGCAGCTGGCCGTATCTTTGCAAGCTGCATTGCAAGTTGCAGCTACTAACGTGCACTTCTTGCTTACGCACAGAACAGACCATTCCCAGAATGTTCCTCAGAGAATGGGCAAGCAAAGAGGCCCGTAACTGTCGGAAACCGTTCTCGGTAACCTCGCAAACGACCCCACCCTCGATAAGGGCTCCAAGCCCTTAATCTTAGCGCGACGCGTCCCCAGTCGCGATCCGACCTTGACACAATGAAAGCTTCATCAGCAAGCCCGACAACACCATTGTAAACCCTCACACTACAAATAGACCCTCTTTCCCTATGGCATCCTCAACTCACCCATCCTTCCCGTCGCGAGGATACCCAAGCAATCTTGGCAAACTCCCGGACCGCTCCATGGCCCCGACCTTCGGCGCATCCACCACCCAACAACAGCGCGAGAATGCCCGTCTGGAGCGTGAGCGGGAAAGGCTGGAGAAGGAAAGGCTGGAGCGGGAAGAGCAGAATCAGTTGACGGAAGAGCAGAGGGAGGAGATCAAAGAAGCTGTGAGTTCCTCGGCCCAATGTGCGCTGTTCGAACGGGGGTTTCGAAACATGCAGACAAGTGCAGAAAGGGGGAGAGAGAGAAAATTGTCGCGGCAGGACCTAGAACAGCAGGGCTAATGTGTTGGCAACACCGCTTGCAGTTCAACCTCTTCGACCTAGACAAAGACAACAAAATCGACTACCACGAACTCAAAGTCGCCATGAAAGCCCTCGGCTTCGACCTCCCCAAGTCCGAAATCCTCTCCATCCTGCAAACCCACGGCTCCCCTTCCGCCCCCCCTCCTCCGCCCACGTCCTCAAACAACAACAACAACAACCAACAATACGCGCACAGCAATTCCCGCCTCCTCCTCCCCTTCCCGCAATTCCAGACCGTGATGGCGCAGAAGATACTAGCGAGGGATCCCAGGGAGGAAATTCTCAGGGCGTTCGAGCTGTTCGATGAAGGGGGAAAGGGGAAGATCAATCTGAGCGATTTGAGAAGGGTGGCGAGGGAGTTGGGGGAGGGGTTGGAGGAGGAGGAGTTGGCGGCTATGATTGAGGAGTTTGATCTGGACGGGGATGGGGCGATTGATCGGGAGGAGTTTTTGGGGATTTGTTTGCAATGACGACGGGTTCCGGCCAGAATGTGGGGGTTGGAAAAAAGCGAGCGCAGGAGTATGGCGTTGGGTGATACCGTTGCGTTTGACTAGAGATGACATAACGAGGGTGCATAGTGTGTGATTGGATTGATTCAACCTACTCCAAGAGAGCGCGCACTTCTACACTCGGACAGGCAGATCTCGGGCGATCTGCCCAAACCCGCTTGTCTTCCAGAACCGAAATCATCTATACATGAAAGCTACTTTCCAGTGGCTTGACTTTAAAAGAAGAATCAAACCGAGACGAATTCGCACGCGGCCCCAAAAATCTCCTCGCCACACAAGGCGTTAGATAGTGCTTAGACAGGTCGACAAATCTCTAGAGATATGACGCCGCGCTCGCAGCCTGCCCTGCTCCTCGGAAATCATTGTCGAAGTCTTCGTTCGCTTCAATGGCAGCCATGAGGTGGTCGTACCCAAGTGGTATGCCCTTCGCTGTCGCAAAAGCGTGAGCCATACGGACTGTGTTCTTGATCTGCACTCGATCTTTAGCAAGGGCCATTTGTAGGGATTTTGCAATGGTCTTACCTGTCGTCCATTGAACTCCCTCCTGCTAAGATCGTCCAATTGCTTCGAAGAGAGCTTGGCCCCTTGTCCGGTCGTTGAGACTTTGTTTGCCTGCTGAATAAAGGCAGACCAGATCTCCGCCTTGGCCTTCTTGCTCAACTGATCGTACTTGATACCGAGGTGTATGCGACTCTGGACCGCCTCATCGAAGACGGTCACTCTGTTCGTGGTCAAGATCATTACGCCTTGAAAATACTCCAACTGCCGCAGGAAGACGGAGACGAGGGTGTTGTGCTGGAGGTGGTGTTGGGTACGAGCTTCGAGGAAGACGTCTGCCTCGTCGAGGAGTAAGATGGCCTTCCAGCGGGCGACGAGGTCGAGGATCATCGCGAGCCGGTCCTCGAGCTTTTCCGAGTCGAGACCTAGGTCTCCGGCACATACCTGTCGAGAGTCAGTAGACGGCGCAGATTTTGGTCTTATTGGGAAGACGAACTCGATATAGCGGTCGTTTCTGATATTCCGAAACGGCCTCGGCGGTCAGAGTTTTTCCCACTCCCGGTGGACCACTGCAATAGTAAGCAATGTGTAGCCGCAAATATGAAGCTGGCAACGTACTGTAGTAGCACAATCAATCCTTTGCCTTTTCCCTCTATGAAGTCGTCAAAAGCAGGCTTGTCTGGGTCAGGTATTTGGTTATGTACGAGTGCTTGCAACATTTCCTTTGTCTTGGTTGGAATGACAAGCGTATCAAATGGTAGGGTGGTCCATGTGATATCTTGTATTGCGGAAACAGCGAACTCCGCTATTCAGTTGGTATCAGCATTGTCTGGAAAAAAAAACATGACCTTTTCCAACAACTGCGGAGACAAAAGGAGCCTTACCCCATGCTCGTCTATCGAGACTGAATCCCAAGACAGTAGGCCCACAAACCAAGAATTCTTCGTCTCTCATCTCGCCCATTTTGTTCTTTACGCCATGGTGTTTGATCTCATCTGTAAGGCCAAGCCCTTCGACGAGGATTTCATTGAGAACGTCGATGCGTATACCTAGAATATCACGACCCGACAATCCATCGACTCGTGGTCTTTCGTAATTGGGATTGTGCTCTTTGAAAGCGATCGGATCCACCATTATCCGGCCTTTCACAGAGAACTTGAACGGTTCGCCTTTTCGCTTTTGGTGCGCAAGGCCTTGGTAAGCAGTGTGATGGATACCCTTCAATGATGCAAAACGACGACCTCGTTCTATCAGCTCTGATTTGACCTTGGCCACCTCCTGGTGATACTTCAGTGGAAATGCTTCCAGAGACGTAATTGGTTTCGCCCCGCGGAATTCCGGAATCAAAAGGTTGCTTATGACTTCACCAAGGAGTTTACCATTGAAGTCAAGATAACGACATTGGAGAACGTAAAATTTGCCTTTTTTGAGGAGTTTCTCCTCTCCAAAGTCAAAAATAAGGCATTTCGGCTCTTCGGAGTAGACGCAGGAGGTATACACCACGGTATTTGGGGGAAAGAGAGTCCAGAGAAGGTCGAAGGTCATTTCGCCACGTCCGAGAAGTTCGGGTAGAGTCTTTATGATGGATGCGTAGTGCTCCTGAAGGAAGCGAATGAGTAGATCGAGGTGCTGCGTCTCTTTGTCGGAATCGAATTTAGTAATGTCTCGCTTAGATTCGATTTGGGACAAGAAGTGGAAGAGGACCTCTATCCGTATCTAAGGTGGCGTAAGTGGTACAGATCTATATTTTCTGGGACCGACCATACCTCTGGCTTGTCTCCATGCAGGGAGACTGTAGGAATCACTTGCAAGACTTGCCGCAAGACGTCTCTCAGAAGTTCCGATTTAACGTCTATGAATATTTTGAAATGCATGTTGTGGTCATCTAGTTCATAGTCAACACCATTGCGAATAGATACCGTACACGGGCGCACCATATTGTCGTCGGACGACGAAGATGAACTCCTCATACTTGTCCGTTTTCTTGGAAGAATCCTCCAGAGAGTCGACAAGCTTGCGACCATAGGTATCTTTGTCCCAGCTAGTGGAATGTAAGCAGCCGATCTCATGTGACGGGTATATAGCTGGGACTCGTTGAACATACATCTGGCTGACGCTCTTGTACTCCAGCACTGAGGCCCTCGGATTTGATTTCTCCTTTTCACTTTCTAGAGATTTATCATCTGGAGCTTTGTCGTTGCCTTCGCCGAGAGCCACAATCTTCACTTCATTGCTCCCCAGTGATACGGGAGTCCCTTCTCCGGGAACTTCCATACTCTCTGATTCGCTTTCTGATGATTGGACACTTCCTTCACCTCGATCCAACATTATCTTTCTGTAGAATAAATGAGAAGGTTCGATGTCACGGCATCCGTCGGTAGTAGAAAGAATAAGAGGAAGCACAAGTTTCAGGTCAACTCGAAAAGACAGCGATGATGGACAGATCGGAGTAATAAATATCCTTGATGGCTGCAACACGAGGTGTTTGATAATAGGATCAGAGTTGTGTTGTTGCACCGAGTTTGAGAGGCGCAACGATCACAATGCAGGTCTCTGCTTTCGGTAGCCTTGCTCTCTACGAATCGTCTAGGCTGCCAGGCAGGCACAACTTGCTGCGGCCACTCGGATTTTGACAATGCTTCCTTTGCATGGGTCCTAACAAGCTGTTGCCTCCAAGGCGACGCTCCGCTCCACTCACAGAGCCTTACTTAGCCGCCGAAGGCTCTCACTGGACGTTCCGACGCTGCATTGTTAATCCGATTAGCGGCATGCAGAATTCTAGTGGCTCGCTTTTCTCTGCCGCAGACGCACGGAAGCACGGACTGGATGGCCCACGGCGTAATAGAACTGCTCAACTAGTCGTCGTTGATCCTCATCGAATCATCAATACAATTACAGAGCAAGGATATGAAAGACCTACCGTCTGCATAAATGTATTTGCGCCTTCAATGATCTAATTTATTAGTCAAGCCCCACGGTTTCAAGCTGTAACCCTAACCCTAAGTAAGCTACAGGTACGTAGACAATGAAATTTTTGGTATGTTGTGGTAGAAATAGTTTTGTGAGATGAGATCTGGCAGGAATACGGCCCAAGGCTCGGGTGGTTTGAAGCATATCTATTCCTCTTGCCTTTGAACCAAAGCCCGCGCCGGGGCACTTTGAACCTCACTTGAGCGTCCATGACCGCAACGTAATGGTTCGCAGGCACAAAGCCTATTAAAAAGCCCTACGCAACTAATACTTAGGTACTATAGGAAACGAATCATAACTCCAGAGTCAGTATTGCCTATTTGAGTGGGGATATGGAGGGAGCCCTGGAATATTGTTCGAGACGATAACCCCCTGGAAACATCTCCAGGCTCAAGATGTGGTCCAAAAGAGAAAACACGGACTCCGAAACGATGTACACCCAGCGTATCGTGTGAACCCCGTTGATCATGTGAGTAACATCGGCGAGTCTAATACGACCAAAAGGTGGTGCTCCACATACCCGTACCACAATGACTGCAGGGTCGTTTAGCTTTGGCTCAATTTTCTCTGATAGGTGATGTTACCATGTCTCATTCGCTTTATGAGTCGCTGCTGGATTGAATTTTCGGAGTTCGTATTGCCTGTGTAAGGAGGTATTTTAAGCCTGGGAGCACGTCTACAAACCAGACAGCCCCAAACCATGTCCCACGATTCAAGGTTTGACCCAAAAGAGGAAAGACGGACTCCGCAAATACGTACGGTCGAGACCTCGGAAACAATTAAGCCAGAAAACACTCAAGCCACCAGAGGGAAAAACGTGTGGCTAGCTCTACATTGTCCTATAAGACTCCATCTGAAGACCTTGTGGTGCGGTCGAAACTTCAGCCAGGTCTCGTCATCTTCCATATCCTCTGGAAGCCGCTCCATGGCGGCCGAATCTCTAAATAGATTTCCGGATGCTTTGGACTTTGGAACACCATGCTTGTCAGGGAACGTTAAGCTCGAGAACTGAATTGTAATTGATGCGGTTGTAGTGCTTTCGAGGCTTCATAGCCCGATGATAATGTTGCGGTATGTATAAGCGGATTTCTCCAATTGTCCCTTTAAAATCAACGATAACGTCGATAGTCGTTGTCCAATCAGCTAGGAGATGCTTGAATCACCATCCCGAAGCTGACGCCGACAGTGTTGTCTAGCGTGCGAGGAATCAAGAACAGGCTGACCAGTTACAATGAAATTGGTACTGTCTTCGAGTACAAGCTACGGATCGAAGGACCGCTGAGAGCATAATACGGTATCAAGGAGCGATCGTTACCGAAAGGTGAAATCCAATGACAGCCACATGGTAAGTGAACGGTTCATAAGCCATGAATAGAGGGGACCTCAAAAACTTCATATCCCACTGCGGCAAGTTCGCCGGCAAGGGAGATGTCGGAAAGGTGGCAGTCGAAGCGGTAACAACCCCCAACACATCAACAGGTTCACACCGAGGGAGAGATCGCTCTATTGCTTAAAGCTTGAACTGCGGTATTGCCTAACTTCCAATAGCATCTTTGTAAGGATGAAGCCCAATAGAGGCGTAAGAAAATGAGAAGTCTTGCCTGCCAAAATTTCTAGTACTACCAAATTGTCCCAGTCTCAATTCAGGAACTTTCTTTTTCTGCTCTTCCCGGCTGACGTTATCTGCTTTTATAGATGATCAACAAGGGAAGTTCTGGACTTTGAGCTCTGATGTCTCGCGCCATGAACCATATTTGATTACTTAGCAGCAACAGCCAGATTTTCCACCTCTGGCACTTTTGCTTTCAACACATCGACTATCTCTTTCCAGACCTGCTTCTGAATCTCCTTTCCCTCATGGCTGACCACCATTTCGCCCGGTGTCTGTAACTCCCCGTTTGTCAAATACCCACCCTGCGCCTCCTCTCCCAGTGTACTGGCGCCAACGAGTGTCCGAGCTCCATCTTCAGTGGAACGGGCAAACAAGCCGTAGAAAGCCCACTTAGCCCAACTCTCAAACCAGCTGCTGTATTGCCTTCCCAGCTCAGAGACACAGAAGCCCGGACAGCAGGAGGTGACAATGATTTGGGGCTCACCGCTTGGTGACGTTGCTAGTGAGGCGAGAGACTTAACGGCGTACATCAAGAAAAGCTTAGAAACAGCGTATTGACGCCCGCCATTGAAGGCAACCGCTGGCTCAGGTGGAGTATCGAGAGCTGATAATATGTTCTGGGGTGGAGATGGAATGGAAGATCGGGCAACTCCGGTATGCAATCCTGAGGAAACAAGGACAAGGTGCGGTAACGAAGCAGAATCTTCTAGTCTCGCAGACCGCAGCTTAGGCAGGAGTAGCAAAGCAAGAAGGGTGGTAGACAGGGTGTTGACCTGCAGTGTTTCTTCCCAACCCTCTGGACTTGTGACGTACTCTCTATTGTGAAGACCCGCATTCAGAATGACGATATCGATACTTTTGAATTGTCGGCTGACACGTCCGGCAAAGCTTTTAACGCTGGTAAAGTTGTTCATGTCAAGCTCCAGAACAGAGATGGCCCCATCTCTGCCAGTTTGAGCTTCAAGTTGCTTGCGAGCGATGTCCCCTTTGGATGTATTACGGACTGCAAGGACGACATGGGAAGCAGAGAGCTCTAGAAAAGTACGAGCAGCTTGGAATCCCAGACCTGTGTTTGAGCCTGTGATGACGACGGTCTTTCCATTGAACGTGGATGTAGTCTTAGCAGGTGGGCTCCATTTAGATCGCAAAAGTCTCAGCAGTCCCGACATCATGCGAATACGTTGGGTAACGGGCACGGTCAGCAGCTCATCAGTGATTTTATATCATATAAGAATCGCAGACGGAAGGGGCATTATCAAAGACATGATGAGAGGATAGCTGGGATTCCGAAAGTAGGCTTGGAAAAGCCTATCCCATGTCCTGGCTCCCTGCTGGTTCGTTTTAGCCCGCGTCCTGGCGCCATGCCGTTCGTTGGCTTGGCGCGCACCCGAAGGGAACCAGGAGATGGGACAAGGATGTCAAATAAAACGTCATAATATACCTAACCGATCGATAATGTCAACGGGTCACGATCCAAGGACATGCATGGTGTCTTTGTCGGTTGGGAAGGAGGGAGCGGACCTGAGAATTTTGAGTGCCTCGAGTGGGATTCCACTATTTCCACACTGGTTAGCTCTATACGCAGGGGTAATCATGCCCTTTTTGTCTTGACCAAGGATATTGTTTCATAGGCTCCTTGGTTTCTCAGGCTAGGATTCAAGGTGTGGCTGCCTGCGTGACAGCTTTTTTCTTGGATTGCAGAGTATAGAAGGGTTGTTTTCTTACGATGGCAGATCCATACTAATTGGTACAGGGGATGACAGTCTCCCGATTTGATAGTTCTGATGCTCTAGTACCCTCAAAGATCCAGGACTTAGCCAAGTCACCTCGCTGCAAGCTCCCAACGCCCGCTTAATGCCTGATGTTACACGGAAACCTTTTTATCTTGTTGCCTCCTTATTGGTTCCATCCATTTTGGCCGTAGGGAGTCGCACCATAGGGCGTTGCCCCTCCGCCCCATGCACTCGTCGCTCCTCCATTGACATACGGTGTCGTATATCCTTGATCGACCCCATACTCCCCGCCCTGTGGCATACCATCTGGACTCTGTCCTCCAAACCCATCCGCATCCGCTTCGCCAGGCCTTGAGTCATCGCCTGTAAGTTCTTGTAAGACGGCGGCAAGCTTTTGTTGCATGACTTTGATGCCTTGTTGTACGACCGCGTCGGGTTCCAGGTTGCCAATGGACTCAAGCTCGAAGAAGAATTGGGAGGGGCTGGCGTTGTAGTCGAAAGGTTCACCGTCTTGAGGCGCTTCTTCCCATTCAGCGTTCTTTGATTTTGGCCTGCGAGATTCGAAGTGTCAGCAAATCGCTACTCCCATGTGACAACTAAAGAAGTCAGGGCACTTTACCATTCCTTGATTGGATCCTCCTCATACCAATAATCCAGATGCTTCAGCTTGTTGTGCGGGTCATACTCGAATCCCACTGCACTCGTAGGCGCCCACTTTGCATGCTCCTTCGCAATTCCCTTTTTCGCAATACACTTCATTATTACCTCCTGTCCCTTCCTCAACTTACAAATCACAGAACCCTGTCCAGCCTCATCTGTGATAACAGGATTTCCCACCCACTCATTTGGCCTTGGTTCAGAAACAATAAGATCTCTTGCATAGACCTTCACAACATCCTCATTGTCCTTCGAACACTTGGCATTCATCATAATGGTGACGGAGCAATTTTCGCAGTACTGGTCGCAGTCGCAATCTCGGGTGTAGAGAACGTCTTCTATTTGGCGGGAATTTAAAGGGATAAGACCAAGTCGGTGAGCGATGAATTCATCGGGGAGAACTGAAGTGTTGACTTCGACTTCGACGAGATCGATGGCCATGGTTGGGACTTCAGCGAGGATAGTTCGGCGGAGGGAGTTGGCGAAGGCGAGGTCTACGTTGCTAAGGGTGAAGTCGACATGGTCGGTGGCGGCCTGAAACAGTGGGTCAGTCTTGAAGGGCATATACTCCAGAAGGATAGCGTGCCTCGCGGACGGTTACTCGAGGTCCCACCTCATCAACGTCCATGTTGTCGTAGTCCATAATAAAAGTTGTGTAACGGCGCAAGCCCGCTCAAGTAACTTTGGATGCGATAGTCGTTCAGCGGCTGAGCTGTGTCATCGTGTCAAAGGCATCAAGAATTCTCGAGCATTTGTCGCGAGCCATAAGGCTGAAGACCCCTGTCTGTATTACGCGGGAGTACCCGCCACGACAATGCAAATGCCACAACAATGTGCATGTCGACGTAGAGAATGATAGTGATCCAACATTCTACAGTCTATGCAATGGACATACCTTAAAATATCAGCTGGCACTCAACTAATTTCATGGAGAACCTGTCAATACAAGACCTGGCGCCAGCAGGAGGCCCGAATCATGTGGCTCCGCCTCCAGGAGGACTTCCGCAACTCCCACCACAGGTGAGCTTTGTAACGCGTTGCTGGCGTCATCAAAGCTGACAATGCAGATGTTTACCACCGCCGCCCAACTTTTGGATCTGACAGATAGTGAGACTCCCTTGGGACAGCCACGATTTCAACGAACGAGTGGCAAGGATCTATCTGTGTGACTGACCAAGGCGGGTGCCGTTCAATATCTATAGAGAAGCTAGTTTTGGTTCTTCGAGATGGACGAAAGCTCATCGGAGTGCTGAGAAGCTGGGATCAATTTGGTACGAACGAAAACGGCTGAAAAGAGAATACGTGTACTGAACATTGGTTCCTTCGGTTGCACAGCCAATCTAGTCCTGCAGGATACGATGGAGCGCATCTTCGTCCAGGAAGTTTACGCTGATATTGTACGCGGCATATTCCTGGTTCGAGGCGAAAATGTCCTGCTTCTTGGTGAAATTGTACGACACCTTCTAAGGCAATTCTCAAACCGCACGCTTTGTCTGATCTCCTCTTAAATCTAGGATCTTGACAAGGACGATTATATACCTGAGCCTTATCGCAAAGTATCTCCAGAGGAAGTGCACGCTCTGAGCGTTAAAGTGAACAAGGAAAAGAAACAGACCGACAAGGTGCGCGCAAAGAAGTTGCAAAAGCTTGGATTCGAGGTCGAACATAGTGGGGAGATTCTATTTTAGCGGCTTTGTCGACAGGCAACACCCGGCATACCTGGATACGTTGTGCCTAGGAGGAAGAGGCTGAAGGCATCTAAAGCCGACGAGGATATTCATGAGGAGGTCGTGCAGATGCAGAATATTGTGAAATGCTTCCGCCGACGAGAGGATGACGAACAGAGAGGCTTCTATACTTGCGCCATTGAAAGAGCATTGTGATTCGTGACCGTGAGTTTGTGCCAGGAATTGTGTATGCTTGATGATACTTGCCCTCGGGAACACTGCGTAGTGCCATAATGTCTTTCCCACTTGATACAGACCATCTGTAGCTTTTCAATGATTCAAGTTTGATTGCGCAGACGGTAATCTAGCTGCATCGATTTACTAAAGAACGTCAATATTCCGCCATGCATGCAGTGATACTGTGATTAGGGTTAGGCAGAGGAACCTCGGAGACTTTCTTAAGCTTCATGCGGGGGCGGGATCTAGGAATGCCTGCTTGGAGATCACCCGCTGATCCTTATAGCTAAAATGGAATTTTGGTAATCACTTACTCACAACCTCATATACCTAGCAGTATGACTCCTAAAGTACGTCTCATAGGGTACTCTCGGGCCACAAAGGTGCTTACATGTCTTAGTTGAATGTACAACCATCATTAGAAACTGTACAAGAGGTACTCTCTGCATCTCAAAACTCTTCGAATCCCCCAAACCTCGTCCCGATATGTGCAACGATACCCGCAGATATATTAACTCCTACGCTGGCATACCTGAAGATCTCGGCTAAGTCAGTTGGGTCGTGGAATGTTGTTGAATGGCTGCTGAGCGGTCTTAGGTCCAATGCCAGCTATTCTTTCCTATTCGAAAGTGCTGCTAGCTCCGAGACTATTGGCAGATATAGTTTCGTTGGTGCAGGTGAGACCTGCATACTACACAAGACTCAGAAGCACTAAATTCTTGTCATACAGATCCAAGGAAGATACTGAAAACCGGTCCTGGCCATGGACCCGAGGGTGACCCGTTGCCTTTCCTCGAGGAAGAGTTGGCACAATACCGAGAAGCAGTCATCCCAGGACTCATATTACCTCCACTCACCGGAGGAGCCATTGGCTATGTGGGCTATGATTGCGTTCGATACTTCGAGCCACGGACAGCCCGGAGAATGAAAGACGTTCTCAAAGTTCCCGAATCCCTCTTCATGCTCTTCGACACAATCGTGGCTTTCGACCATTTCTTCCAGGTGGTTAAAATCATTACGTACCTACATGTACCTCCATCGCCTACAAATCCCGCCTCCATCTCATCTGCTTATCAATCCGCCTATGAAAACCTCACCACCACAATCTCGATCCTCCAATCCCAAGACATACCTCTTCCGCCTCAGCCTCCAATAGCGCCGAACCAGACCTACGAATCCAACCTTGGCCAAGCTGGGTACGAGGCTCATGTCATCAGCCTCAAGAAAGAAATCCAACGTGGCTCTATAATACAAGCGGTCCCATCCCACCGCATAGCGCGGCCCACGACCCTCCACCCTTTTAACATCTACCGCCAGCTCCGAACCACCAATCCCTCACCATACCTATTCTACATTTCTTGTTCCACGTTCCACCTTGTGGGTGCCTCACCCGAACTCCTCGTCAAACGCGAGGAAGACACCCATCGTATAATTACGCATCCTATCGCTGGCACTGTTAAGCGTGGTGCAACCCTTGCTGAGGATCTCAAGCTCGCTAACGAATTGCGGGCAAGTCTGAAAGACAGGGCTGAACATGTCATGCTTGTTGACCTTGCCCGCAACGATATCAATCGTGTCTGCGACCCCATCAGTACGAGAACGGATAGACTCATGGTCGTCGAAAAATTCTCCCATGTCCAGCATCTCGTTTCGCAAGTGAGTGGCCTTTTGCGAGAAGGAAAATCACGTTTTGACGCTTTCCGCTCTATATTTCCTGCTGGCACTGTCAGCGGCGCCCCTAAAGTCCGTGCTATGGAACTTATCGCTGAGCTGGAAAAGGAGAAACGAGGTGTCTATGCCGGCGCAGTTGGGTATTTTGGCTACGGAAATGTTGATCAGGCTGGAAAAGAGACTGAAGGTGCGATGGATACCTGTATTGCCCTGAGGACTATGCTTGTTAAGGATGGAGTTGCCTATCTGCAGGCTGGTGGAGGCATAGTGTGGGACAGTGTACCAGAGGAGGAGTGGGTCGAGACGATGAATAAGGCCGCTGCTAACGTTAGGTGTATTGCAGCTGCTGAGGAGAGGTACGCTGGAATGGAGATGCACAATAAAGATGGTACACAAGAAGAGACAATAAGGGGTGGAAATGGGCACATGCATGTTGACATGGCGGCTGGTTGATTGACCTATTATACCCAGCGATGGAACACCTCTTTTGAAGAAGGACAATTTATCGCAGTCGGAGATGACAACCTCTCGACTCGAAACCACGTCGACGAAGCAGGAAAGGCACAAGACTTTTACTGCGAGGGAAGCGACCCAACCATTAAGAGCCATCGAATAAGGGGCAGAACCTAGTAAAACGCATTTCCAGACACCTTTTCATAGCTGCAACGGTCGTTGATCACTGGAAGAGGAGCTTTTTACGTGCGTATGGTTTGTGCTGCTGACCGTTTTGCTGCTGATCTATTTGTTCATCCCCTTTTTTCGTTTAATGATTTGAGAGCCTTTACCTGGTCGCTTGTCTGTTTTCGTGCTCGTTGCACTATATTGTCTATTCATTTACGAGTGTGTGCCCGTCTTTGTTTAGACTTGCCATGTCCGAAACTTCATTCTGGTTGTTTCGGTGTTTGCCCAAAATGCTGTTCGCTTTCACTTTGAGCTCCCCATTCACCCTGGATTATGCAATACTCCGGTCACGAACCTGTCGTTCGCAGTCGGAAGATTTTGCGGGGAAACGCATGAATCTTTGCAGGTGATCAACGATCTGACAGCTCCAGCCGCATACATGGGCCTCTGGAGACTGAGTGGAGAGCAGCTAATGTTTCCGTAGAAGTCGTCTTGGCGCAGCAGCCTTTTATTGTTCGTTGTTGCCTTCTTGTTTCCGATCTAGCTGCACGTGTTTCCGGCAATCTTACTCCTGTCATAGCACGCCTCTTGGATAAGTGAATGGAGATATAGGCCTAGCAATTCGATCACGCATGTTCTCTGTTTATGCTGTGGGTATTGATTGTCGCTTCTCTCGCATGTGCAAATTCTTGAAGGTTGTATCAATTCATGCTTCTTCCCGTGTGCACCCGATCAACGAATTGACCTATGGTAAGTCAGAACGTGGAACTGTCTGGACTTTCTTTCGGCAATCAATGCCCACAGTATGACTGTTCGCCAATGGAGCCAGCCCTATGTGTACATGGTACAGAGTTGTGTAAGACTAACCTTTTGTATATATTGCTAGCCTTGGATCAATTGACAATTAGAGGTAGCCTAGCATCTCAACGCCATTTCCTCAATGAACAACCCACAGGAACGACACAACAATGTTCACTTTCTAGCCATTGCCGATATGGCCACCCCTACATCAGCTTCTCCTCAGACCCTGGCTGACTCGGCGCCACAGCGCACCCAGCACAACTCTATATACACTCCACGTGGTTTATTCAATCAAGTGACGTTGCCAAACCCTTCGCACCTTCAACCCTCTCTCGCTAAACGAAGAACTAAAGCAGATCAGCGGCTGCTCTCCGAATTCGGTCTTTCGAAGAACACTCCCATGCGTCGCTCTAGTCACAACGCAATGGGAAAAAGGATGTTCTTCCTGCTCTCAGGACATCATCATATGCAGAAGGTGGTGCCTCCCTCTTACGAGCATGCCCTACAGCTTGACAAGAAGGCTTTGCTTGTGTCGCAGTACCGCTTGCCCTCGTTCCGAGAGGGATTTTCAGACTGGATCCAGGACACCAGTCTCATGGACCCAATGCAATCGGAGATCACTGTCGATAGACTCTCTCGTGGGCAGGAGAATTCGGGGTTACATTTGCCAAGCATTGTAACATTACTTAAGAGGGAATGGTATTGAGCTGAGAATCATGGACGGGCACACACTGGAATGCAGAGTATATAGTGATGTTGAGATAGCACAATACACAATTCCAGCATACTCTACGTTACGTTTTTTCAATCGGTTGTCAAGTGTGGAGGTCCGTGAGTAAGATCTGTCCCATAATCAATGAAGGGGAAAGAGCCATGAGCGGGCGATGATTATAAACACGGGTGGACAAGGAAGATCTCAGTGCTCCAAAGGACATGATCCCAGTCCCCATCTGAGAGCATTCTGAGTGCCTTCATTTTGGTCTGATTCTGTATGGTTGAAGCAATGCTCGAAAAAAAAGAAGTGGCCAGCGCCCCAGGAACCAAGCAACCATCCACACATATCTTCCGTAGCGTTACACAGCGTGAACGCCCACGATCCCACGATTTTGCATCCTTTCAGGCTTAAAATCCTCGATTGGGTCGTTGACGGTCCTTGTCAATAAGAAAATGTTGAGATTTCGATGTCCTAGAGGCTTCAGCCCTAGATTATGATGTTCGCCGCTTCATTTGGAGCACTGAGATTTTCCTGGTCAACTATTGTTCAGAATTCTTGCCCGCTCATGGCTCACTTCACTTCTCGAGTCATCGCTTGTCTTGCGGTATAACTCTGCGATGAATTCGTAGAACTGCTCGATCAGTTCCTCTCGGGTTCGATGATCTGTAGTTCTCATCTGGGAGCATTTATGGCTTTGTTGTTTCTTCGATGTCATCCGCATGTCGTTGAAGGGTCACTTAGTAGGTTTCTTGAATTAATGCATGGCGCACCTCTGTTTCAAGAAGTACTGCCGGTCGTACATTCTTTCCTTGACATTTAAGTTGCTTGGTTCGGAAGAACAATGTACATGAAGCCGTGAGTGTTAGATGTTGGTCAGTATACTGCTACAAGGGCATGAGGCATGTTGAACCGAGAAAATTTCTGGGGTGGGATGATGACCGAAGGAACGGCGTATGGCGGCAATTTTTCCCTGAGGGCTGCTCGGACGCGGTCCCGCAATGACTTGAACCTTTTGGGCATTCCAGTCATGGTGTGGTTTTTGGTACCGTCCGGAGAGCAGGCCCTCCGTGGCAGGTACAATACATTAGACAAGGGTTGACTCCTCATCATTGTCTCTTCCGACCAATGTGACGTTCTCTCTGACATGTGGGTAATGTGATATACGTGTATCGATTTCAATCCTGAAACCGCGGATCGAGACCTGGTCATCAGCTCGATCAGAGCACTGAATATCACGGCTGTCTGGATGATAGCCTGAATCCCCTAATCAACTTCTACTTCTGTCAGTGGTATTGCACCTCCAGTTTGTTCAAATGGCTGACTGTGGGACTGTACACTCGATCACGAGGGCGTCTCCAGAACGCTCGCCAAGGCTCTCTTTGACGACGCTCGTCAAAGCCATTACCTTTTGCTTCGATCTAGGCATTTTGATCGAGGGAAAAAAAAATCAGAACAACTTTCTCGCGGTTCAACTCGTCAGAGCCAAGATAACCTTCAGCTAAGCCTCCAGCACCGACGTAAATCTTGCCAAACCCTCCGACTTTGCACAATGGAGGACTTCCCCTTCCCAAGGACTCATGGTCTACTACAGGACACTGGATATCTCGCATACCTCGCCCAGTCGGTATTGTGTCGTTCGTTCTTGCCAAATAACTGAGGTCCTCGTTTCGAGATGGAATCTCACAGTAGCTGACTGCTTTTTTTTTCTCTGTTGTGCTAAATACATTGACTCTGCGGACGTTAGCAGCCAATGATTGCAGGTAGTCGGCAGTCTCGCTTGATGAGAACGTCTCCAACGGAAAAGGCATGATATAATGACGGGAATTCTGCAGTGGCACCGTCGACAACGATATGGCCCATAGCTGGGGTCAGATGGATTACTGTTGGCTTGTGTGCAATTCAGCAAGCCTTTGATGCTGAATGCCTTCTTCGCAGGTACCAGCAACTTGGCACCGAGGTTTAAGGGGACGAAGATATCTCTATGGATAGGATCGTGGGCTATGCCTGACAGCATAGTATATTGGTCATTATCCGAAAGATTGACTCACTCGGCCATGAAAGGGACGTAGTAAGCAAGCGAGAAACGGCGACCACTGACGGCTTTTGTTCGGCCTTCAGATCCACGCGTAATTAGGCACTAGAGTCAGGTCCGACAACTACTCCTGGATGTTTGATTCTCAATTGCTGCTTCTCTGGCGAGGAAACATCTTTGCCATTACTATTAGCTCCTCCTCTCAAGGTATCACCATTCAGCAAATCCAATGCTGGTACTTCTGCATTTAAGTCGAGATGGCCGAGAATCCAATTTCACACTTGTCGCGGAATCTTATCTTCTTTCCGAAATGTCTTCTCTAGCATGATCAAATCCCTAGGCCGTGTCACATCGAGATAGACTATCTGGCAATCGCTAGGATAGGCAGGATCTATGACGCTGAATGTACCCCAGCCTTTATAACACCTAAGACTGGGAGATAAGCTTGCTAGACTGCATACTTGGGACGACCAATTCTACCGAAAGATATGCACAGATCATGATAACCTCCTCTTTGTATGCCACGAAGTAACGGGCCAGGACATTAGACGCTTCATGGATCTGTTAGTATGAAATTGCGCCCTAACATTGTAATTGATGCCATCCCAACGACACAGAGCCTATCAGGATATTTGAGAGCATTCTGGGCAGATAGATATTGGATTGAGCCGCGAAAATCTGACCAGTGCAGGTTGCTGTCGAGTCTGGTAAAGTAGGTCAAGATGCAATTCCACTCTCCATTTGGGACTGTAAAAGCATCAATATTGCAAGCTGTAGCGTTGGGTCAAGGATAGTAGCAAAGCACAGTGATTCGACCATTCAATGACTCGAAGACTCGATATACTGATGCCAAGACTATTGAATGATTGATCCCTGTCAATGCTGCGCTTGGGAAGCTAAAGGCGGATAACCCGCGCTTGTGAAATCCTCGCTAAAACTCAGTGTAACCTCATCCCCTTCTGGGGTTCGCAATGTGGAAGAGACCGTGTCGCTTTCGTCTGATCTTTGAGGTCCTTCGTCCTTCAGTGAATCTTGAAATCGTTCTTCTTCCTGTGCCGCCTGAATAGTGAATACACGCAAAAGTCGTTTCAAAACGGCCGCACTCAACATCCCACCTTCTTCACGCGTCCAAATGTCTGTTTCTTCTGGTGGTTCTTGCGGCCAAGTTTCGTTTTCGCCCAATAAATTACGCATCCAAGCCTCTCCTCCTAGCACAGAGTGTGCCCAAACCTCGTCCCACAGAGGAGTTTTGCGCTCCAAAATCCCCGGCTCCTCAAACACAGGTGTCCAATGTTTCTCCGGTTCGGGGGTGTGGACAGCCGCCAGCGCTTCTCTTTCTTTTGCATACATACCCCAGATGTCATCCATTTCCTGCTCTTGGCGTCTGTAAAAATCTTCTTCCCTCAACTGCTCTTGGGCGAGAGGGAGAATGACCCGTTCGTCTCCCCAACATGGAGGGGGTAATTTGTTCATCCCCGCTGTCAGCACCTCCATGTCTTCAACGCGGTGATGGTTCTGGAAAACCTTTTGGCTCGGCCCTTGATGCTCCTCCTCGCCTGTCAGGTCTGTGGTGGTGTGGTGCCTCGATGAATACGGTGGGTCTTGGTGGCTTTCCTTCCACCCACGCCCAGTTGTCCAGTCACTGAGAGTATCGTGTATGGAGGAAGATGATGAGTCTTGGTCCTTTGCTTGTTGTCCCCTTCGAGCTGCGCGATCCATGCGAGCGTCCAGTCTCGAGCAAGAGGGTTGGCTTTGGCTGCTTCCTTGCTGCCCACTCGGTACCGTGCCAGCAGTACGAGCGCTGTGTCTTGAATATGCTTGGACCGCGTGCTTTGCTTGCTGCCCACTTTGAGGCGGCCCATGATTACGAGCGTTGTGTATCGAGGAAGGGTGTTGGTCCGGGTTCCTTTCTTGCCATCCATTGATGCTAGTGTCGTGTCTTGGGAAAGAGGTCTGATTTCCGCTCAATTTCTGCCGCTTATACTGGCTGGGCACTTCGATTCCAGCATCATATCTTGAGGAAGAGGGTCCGACTTGATACGACAATTTATGAGCATGCTCACGTAGAGTTCCGGCGGCCAGATCTCTGTGCAAATCCACATGAGCGTCTTGTCTCGAGGATGATGGTGCGTCTTGATTGAAGGAATGTTGGGTTGTGCGAGCGACCAGTTGGTGAGTTCGTCTGGCATGCTCTATGTTCCAAAACATTCGGAGCACTGTTTGGAAATCGGTTTCTGAACAGTGTTGACACTTCTCTATATTGCCTTCCCATACATAACACATGGTTGCTTAGAGTGTGGGAATCTATGGCGCATCAGCTGGGCAGAAGGCTTTCGGATACCAACAACGCACACGATCTAAACTTCTTTGAACCTAATGTTTGTAAAATCTCTTCTTTGGGACAATGTCAGTGTCGGCGTGTGAACAGGTCAAGGTATGGAGAGTGACCCTGCCAAAGAGAAACTTGGTGAAGCCTTAGGTCCAAGGATCGAGGCTGCGAATGTATCCAAAAGTGAACGAACAGTTACTGGAATATGACTCTACTTGAAGCGAATCTCCAGAACGCAGATGCTGCGTTTTGGAAAAGGGAAGAGGGGTATCATGGGCTTGGCAAGCCGAACCTCCAGCTTCATGCAATAGAATCCCGTCATCGTGCTTTAGCACCGGTGAAACATTCCATAACACTTCTTGGAACCGATCAGGCTGCAGTCATGCATTCATCTCAACCTAGAGCTTGCAGAATAGAGGAGCAAGAGGTTCGGTGCGGCACGAATCGTCGGATGTAAGGTCTCGGGGGGCGTCAGCAGGGCTTCCCGTTGAAGCCCCACTTGTTTTAGTTCCGGTGCTTTTAGTCTTCGTCACCAATCAATCTAGGACGGAGGTTATTTGTTTGAACCCTAGGAGACAAGTGGTAATTTCCACTGCTGATCAAGCCCAGATCGATCGCTGTGCAGAAGCCTCGCAGTGTGAATCACGCAGCCGCCTTGCCAATCCTAAGCCTGTGCATTGTAACGACGGGCGCTTAGCCTAATGGCTTGCATTTGGGGAACACGCCTTATCGGACGGCGACAAAAGCTTCTCAGCTTATGAGGGTCACGCAGTCGCTTGGGCAATAGTCGAGCCAGACGCTGGAACTTGAGCCACCTAGGCATGTTTCGAGATCATCCATCACATTATGAAGCTAACGATCCTAGGCATCATGCTCTGCCAGCTTGTACCCAGTCGTTTGTATCATGTTTCGGGTTTTCCGGCACGTAATTTCAAGGTTTGGGGGTTTCATGATTTGGCTGCATAAAGGATGCTGCGTGGTTTGAGCCCGTGCCTGGTCAGCTCTCCCGATTTCTTGCACCCGATCGTGCCAGCGCAGCCTCGCTGATTGTCAACCAATATGCAGCCTGCCGTGAGAGGTTTGCCGGACCTTGCTGGCTCGAAGTCTTGTCTACGATGCCAACATATGTATTCGGAAGTTACCACGGGCGTTGCTTGCTTGCTCGAGATCTTACATACAATGCTAACTATTTCCTCTGAAATCAGCACAGTAGCGTAATGTCTCAGATTTTATTGATGTTTTAGGACGTAGGAGCGGATAAGCCCCGTACTATTCCCAGTCATTGTCAAGATCCGCTATTGGTATGTCTCCTTTAGCGCTTGGTCCTTTAGCGCGGAAAGTGGCAGTTTTGTCGTGCTTCAGCAATGTCTGCCACATTCTCTTCGCTTCTATTGGATAGGAGCTATGATAACCTTTTTGCTCCTTGGCCGGTTCGGTTGGGCCTTATCTTTTGCTGTTTGATTACCTAGGAAAGTGAAGCGGGGGTACTCTGCCGTGCTTCATCAATTCTCGCCAGACCTAATTACCTTCCCTGGACGAATGACACCATAGCACCCTCACCCGTTCAAGTCGGAACCTCTCTTTCGATGGCCCGGCGCACCAGGGGTAAGAAACTTATGGCTTTCGTCCACTCAAGCTATCTTCGATTTCAAATCGGAACAGTTTACGAAAGCACCGTGCCAGCATCCAAGAAAGTAGAATGTCTTTCGCTCCAATACTGGGCCCAGAGTCATCTTCTCAAGCTCACCTCCGATCCTTATTCTTTGCGTATTTTGCGTCTCTGGCTGCGCTCTGCTCTTCGCTACTTGCCGGAATGTCTGCATTGGTCGATGATCTTGCCATGCGGATCCCGCCATCCTCATGTCTTGTCTGCCAGTTCAAAAAGTTACGAGCGTCCTGTTCCAACACGGAGAACAAGACAACCGTACTCGTCTTCGACCCCAGCACGGGAGTCTATACCTTAAAGAAGATCGAAGATATCGACGGTGAGTCTACAGTGCGCGACTTGTCCGACCTCCTCTTTAGCTCTCGTACTCACTACGTACGTAGCCGAAAAACAAAACTTCATCTACCGCAAAGGCCTGCCCACCTCAGCGCAATCCATCAAGGTCCAGCTTCCCGGAGAAACGAAACTTCTTGCCGAAGTCCGTGTCGACAGCGCGCGCACGCGACAGGGACTGAAGCACCAGCGTTCGCTGGTCGATGGTTTCTACATCATGCCAGGGAGGCCAGGCACTCAAATGACAATGAACCCCAAGCGCACGCGCGAGGGTCAGCTGGCAGAGCTACCGGCCCCCGGTTTCTTCAACCAAACAAGGCACCCAGTGGAACTACCCGCAGACGAAACCTCTCCGGTGCCTGCCCTCCCTTCCTCGCCGACGCCGTTGCTGCTCCCGCCTCGGACCCCACCGAAAAATGCGCGCAAGGCTCCACAACTGCTCGCTCCACCTCCCAGGGAGGTATTTTCGGAGAAGAGGACTTCGTACGGCAGTAGCTTGGGGAGCGCGAGCATTCACATCGCTTACCTGCCGAGTCATCAGGACGACGTTGAGAGAGATGGAATACCGGATCCGTGCAATGTGAGTCCTTCCATTCCGCATCCCGGACTGCGAGTATCGATTCTCCGTGCTTTCATCGATGCTTGAGAACAGAACAGAATACACGCTCACCGTTGAAGACAGGCTCTCGATTAAATTCTCTGACCCTTGGCCTCATTAGCTGCGACCATTCTCACCATGGGTAGTCAAGAGAACTATCCCTGCGGGCTCACCGCGGGATATACATCGGTCGGCATCCGAGAAATGATTTTACGATTTTGGAAGGCACGAGCAGATGTGGATAGAGGACTTGGGAACGAGAAGGGATGGCGAGATTTACCATTTTGGATGTGCATATTAAACTGTTTTGCATGCCTGTACATACTACAATATTCCGTTTTTGGAGAGTAATGTTTGGTGAAGAGGAGGACTCAAAGATTCGGCGTATGGGTTTTGGTACTGTCGGAGGGCTACAAAGGACGCTTGCGAAATGTATCTATGGAGAGGAGGGATTGGCTAGTCCGAGATTCGAGGGATTCCAGAGGAACTGGGGTAGTTCATGCCATTTCTAGATCAGAAGTCGCATAGTACGGTTGAAAGAGTGAAACCCAGCTACGAGTGAGGTTGAGAGACGTCAGCTACTGCGTGCTGAAGACCTCTGAAGTCAGATCGATACCCAGGGTTCAGAGTACGAGATTCAGACTGCAAGCATAGGTGTATGATATACGTCTCTTCTTCTACTATGAGTGAGCCTCTGAGGCAGTCCCCAGTCTTTCCCAAATGCCCGACGAATGCGCACGGCTCTATGTACTTGTTGCCACCAACGCCTTACTCGCCGTATCAAAGGGAGTAATATATACGCGCTGCTCGAGAGCAGCATAAAGCATCCACGGTACTCGAAATTCCAATCAATCACTCATCTAAATCTTTCAAATGCCGATAGATCGTCTTATGCTGTTCCAAAAACAGAAAAGTAGCAATCGTATGCGGTCCCAACCGCACAAAACTCGGCACCCAGCCCCTGAACATCCACCCGACCCCTTCATTCTTGACGGTTCTACTCAACAGCCCCAGCAGACTCTCGCTCTCCTTCGCACTCATGACCCGTGTCTTGATCACATCGACAGGACTGCACACCGTCGTCGCCACAAAGCCGGCAAGCAAGGACGCGGTAAAATGCGTCGTCAGATTATCCTCGAGTGACGTCTTCGCCAGCAAGACCCGCTTGAAGCTATCGTAGCTCGCGAGCTGGCTCGCGGTCATGAGCACGGCCCTCATGCTGTTCGGCCAGACGCCACGCCACAGGCTCCGCCAGCCTTCCTCCCGGGTCATCCGTATCAGTCCGTCTATGGCGTTCTTGTAGTTCCTTCTCTTATCAACGGGTAAAGCGGCGTCGTGCTGCATGCGCACGTTGAGTACGTCGGCTGGGTTGCCGGCTATGCCGCCTAGGAAGCCGGAGGCGCTGGCCATGGCGATTAAGGAGGGGAGGGAGGGAGAGGAGCGCGCAGTCGTGAAGGTCCCTTTAAGTTCGGAGTAGATGCCGAACCGGGTGGTGGAATAGGTTAGTTGACGGAGAAGAGAGGCGGAGAGCTGGGGGAGATTTTAGCAAGGTTTGAGCGTTTGGTGGTTGGAGGAGGCGAAAGCTTGGGGGGTGGGAGTCGAAAAGACATACGCCGCGGTAGAGGCCCAACACACTGTCGGCCTTGAGGATGTGCACGAAAGTGCCGAGCATGCCCTTGGGGCCATCTGGAGTTCGTGTTTGGAGGCGGACCTGCTTGGAGTAAGCTCAGGCTTGAGGATTTCCAGGGGTTAACCTCTACCTTTACTATTGACTCGATTAGCTTTCGATCATTACTTTTTCTCTCAATAAGGTCTTGCGCTCGTACTCAGATCCAAAGGATGTGTCACGGAGGCGGCGAAGCATGATGCTGAGCCTCCAAACCAAAACGGGTAATGGATGTTGCTGTGGTCCTTTGCTTTGACCTTGCCAGATGAGGACATGTCTCTGCGGGCATTCCGCTGGCTTTGCGAAGTATAGAGTGGAGGCTCGAGAAGATGATAGGATGGAATGAGCGAGCTCGGAGGATTCGTTGGAAAGAAATTTGACTGTTAGCGTGTGCAGAAAACGTTGGAATACTTGGTACTGAGAAAATTACACACATACCACCAAAAGTAGTACTGAATAGATGAATCTTCTCCCATATCGTATTCTACCACCTTTCTTTACTATATATCGTGTTGCTATATAATTAGGGGTTCCTAGTGCTTTAGCTAGAGGCTTTAAGGTAGACTTGAAGGTATTTAAGCCTTAGTGGCGATAGGCGAAGGCCTTAATGACTCTGGGGTAGTAGTAACAGTAGTAGATGTAGTTTAGTCTTCAAAATCTATCTGAATATCGCACTTATCAAGAGCTCTATTTAACTTCCTCATGTTTGTTTTAAAGATATAGTCTTCTATAGTATTACGCTTGAAATGCTCCCTCGGAAAGCGATTACACGGTGTATCGACTCCTCCTCACGGTATATCGTAAGAAGTTATTAAAGTTCCCTTGGAACTGAGGCTATATCTCGTGAAAGTGTCTTCGAATCTATGCCTTTAAGACGCTGAAAGAGAGCTCGATGGGATTGAAATCTGGTAAGTAGGGAGGTAGATATCGGATCTCGCAACTATGCTGATGGATTATCTCCTCGATATAAGGATTACAGTGTAAACTGGTATTATTTATGATAATAATACTACGATAGGCTGAGAAGACACCGCAGTGAGGTAGTAACTCGTCGATCGGCTTTGATATGAGGGTCTTTAGGTCTGGGAGCGGGGGTAGCTGCGCTTGACTGACTGTTGCTAGGGCCCGGCTGGCTATTCTTAGTAATCGCTTGGGTACGGAAGGACGCCTTAGGCCTCTTAAACTGTCTGGCCGGAGGGGAGGTCGGTAGTGGGGGGGGGATCCCTGACTGCGTCGATTGGGAGGTATTTTGAAATACTAAGGTAAAACATCAAGGATCGGCTAAGCGAAATATATAGGAGCTTCAAATATAATAAGAAAGGTGCTAGAATGCGATATGGGAGAAGATTCATCTATTCAGTACTACTTTTGGTGGTGTGTGTGTGATTTTCTTAGTGCTAAGTATTCCAACGTTTTCTGCACACGCTAATGGCAAATGCTCCGGTGCCAAGAGCAACAGGCTTGGCACGACAAGCCATGACCTCCGTGAGCAGGGGTGGTGGTTCCTTATCATGATCTCCAACTCTACGAGAAGAGACTGAACGTGAAGCCAACTTCGCGCGTATTGACTATGTCAACTCGCATATTTGGGCACCATCGGGACCGCCGAGATGTTATATAAGCCCTTCTATTGGTAGGGAACTTTGGCCTCTGTGTCTTTTACCCTGCAGCACGCTCTTGTCCTGCGGTACTGATTCATCCTACGATTCTCTCCCAACTTGCGATACGTATTACAACCCGAATTACAGCTGTGAAGTTGATAATTCAGGCCAGCTTAGTAGGCTACTCACTTTGAACCAGTTGAGATGAATTACACTTTGAACACATAGAAACGCTATTCTTACATTATCACCATCTTAAACGCAAACATCTTCATTACATTGACTGTCTTGTTGCTTCATGTGTATAGCAGTCTCTTCACTACAGTCCTGCCGGCTCCTATATCTTCAGGACACCCGATGTCTCGCCCACCGTCGCTGACAACGCTTTGAACGTTAGGGTTGGCGCAAGCAGTGTTTGAAAGCCAATATCCAGCCCGAATTCCTTAAAAAGCCAGTTTCGAAGCTCGGCACCGATCATACTATCCAGGCCGTACGCCGCAATGGACTTGCCATCGAAGTCGAATCCTTCGACCGCGGTCATGAGGATGCTTGAACACCTCTTCATAATGTGCAGAGCAATAGCCTCAGTCACGGCGTCAGGACCTTCCGCCATGGTTGCTCTCAGAGAGAGGTCACGAAGTCGCCACCGGAGCCACTGCTGGATGTTGAAGAACTGAGGATATCCTCAACATTTGCTCTGATGCCGTTCAAGCGTGCATCGTTGTACCAATAGGCATCAACGACATCCTCAGAGGCTAGTGCTTCGGCAAGATAGACGCGTTCAAGGCCGAGTACGATCTGAGCGCTACCAATACGAGCAGGCTCGTTGGCGCCAGGCTTAGCTTGCATCATGGCCGTCTCGAAACCACGGAGCATTTCTCCTTCATGGATTCCGTACATTCCTTTGCGAGAGAGCGATGTCTCAATATTCTCATTCTCGGCAACAACCCCAACGTCAAGAACCATTGGCAGAGCCAGTGAGCTCGCAACGAGGCGATGCTGGTTTCGATGCCAGGCGAGAGCGTCAAGGAAGCTGTTGCCTGCGCTATAGTTGATCTGTCCAGGGTTACCAAGTACCGCCGAAATGGAACTGGTCATTACGAAGAAGTCCAGCGGTGTATCACCCAGAGCTTTGTGAAGGTTCCATGCACCCATCATCTTGGGGTTCACTGCAGCAGCGAATTTCTCGCAGGTCATGTTTTCGAACATACCATCCTGCCATTATCATCAGCGATGTCCAAGCTCGTGTGTATCTGAGATGCTCACCTGGAGTACCATAGCAGCGTGGACAACACCGCGAATCGGACGGGCTGCATTGACCGCGGAAACAACCTTCGCCACGTCCGTGTCAATCGTAGCATCAGCTCTGAATACCTGAGCAGAAGCACCAGCTTCCTTGATTGACTCAACAACTTTTGCAGCTTCTGGTTTGTCCGCCCCGGAGCGGGATATGAATGCAAAAATTTTGCACCCTTTTTCCATCATCCAGGCTGTTAGACTGCGACCCAGTCCGCCAAGACAACCAACCAAAAGATAAGCAGCATTTGGGGAGAAACGGAGCTCTTTGCCTGCCGGTTGAATCTGAAGTAGACGATTAGGACGAACCTTTGTCTTTTCGTAAAAGGGCACATACCTTGACAGAGCTTTCTCCATAATTACACGCAACGACACCGTTATCCAGTTTCGCGGAGGATCCTGAGAAGCTCTTCATCTCCTTCAGTGCACTGATATCATACACCGCAGGCTCTTGGACCAAAAGCTGTCCGTGTAGCCTCAGAATGTCGAGTGATGATTTCAGGACTGCGGAAGCCTGACTCTGTCTGTAAAGAGCACCGATGCCTGTGGGAATGAACGAAGCACCTTTCGTGAAAGGAAGTGCATCTGGCCTCGCATCAACAGATCCATCGCTAAGGACGAAGCGACCCATTGCTGGCATGAATCTCCATATCTCCCGACCCAAATGCGAGAAGTCGCTCGCAATCACAATGCTAGGCACATTTGCAGAGGTTCCTGACACGAGCTTGCGAATCGTTTCGGTTTCTTCGGCCAGTAATATCGATCCGGAAGGCACTTGGTATTTGAGGAGGCATTCTTCTTTCTCTTCTTCAGTCTCCACGACCATCGTGATGTTGAAGTTGAATGCACGGCTGAGACCAGCAATGGCGCCCACGATAGGCAGAGGTGCAGGAAGAACCAGCGCATGCTCGCCCGGCTCAACGTTCCCTGCCTTGAGACAGTTCACCGCTTTGCACAAGTTGGGTAAAGTTGCTGCCAAACGCGCCACATCGAAACCTGCAACACCGACACACATGTGCTCAGTGGCTCTCACCATAGTGGAATAACCTTCCTTCGTAAACAAGGCCGTGGTTTGACCAATGGCGGCTGCGTCCATAACGCTGCCGACTCTGACGATTTTTCCCAGCACAATCCTGGGCGGCTCATTGTCAGACTGCACGTCGTCTGCTTGGAATTCAGATGCTTCCACCTGAATCTCGGCCTCAAAGTCTGAAAGTTCCTGAGTTTCTGGTGCTCTCGGACAGAGATTGAGCTCTCCATTGACGACTCTGCCGCAAAGCGCCGTCTCCGCTGGAAGGACAGAGTGCTCAGTAGCATCTGTTGTAGCGGAGAGTCGGTCGTTCAAGGTTGCATTTGGAACAACCCGGCTCACATAGAGCACTCCTTGATGAAGCCAGAAATCGGTATCTTTACCAGAGTTCTTCGTTGCCACATTTCCGAGCTTCTGGTGGAGGGTTTCACCAGTGCATCCAAGGTTCTCATCAACGTCAACATCTAGCAGCGTAATTTGAGCTGCAGCTTGCTCAGATCGTATGGCCCGAAAAAACCCTTGGCTCATGCCTCCGAAAATCACCTCGCCTTGATTGACCCCGCTGGTGAGCCTAACGACCGGCAAGCTTGAGCAAGGAATCTTCTGCAGCGCCTCAAAGACGTCAGCGCGGAGTTTGGATAGCATGGTGCCCTCTGTGTCGTCGATGACGATCTTAGTAGCCTCTGAGACCTCGACTTTCGAGATATGCTCAGTATGCACGTTGCAGCCTCTTGCTCGCAATTGTTTCGCGATGTCCTGTACGGAAGGTCGCTGTGGATCCATGGTGGCGATCATAATTTTCTCATCGGTTGAATCAAAGCTGTCTACTTCGCAAGCAACACGGTCAATTTTCCAGAGGAAGTATCGGCTTAGAACCATACTTGGTTTATTCGTCCTAGGAATGGTCCAATTATCCGGGATCGATGGCCTCCTCTATGTGAGTCTGAGACTGTTAATCCTCGCCTCATTGCTTGCGGTCTCGATGGATTAAATGATCGCTAATCTGCTGACTGTAACAGTATGCTCCTATTCTCTTCTCCCGAGCAGGTTTATCTAGCGGCACAGCCTCCTTCCTTGCATCCGGAGTCCTCAGCTATCCTCATGTTAGTAGTATCAATCCCTGCTTTCATCTCCGCAGATAGCTGGGGTCGCAGAACTTCGATCATCACTGGTGGCATTGGTCTATCCGGTTGTATGTTTGTCATCGGCAGTCTCTACGCAACGAATAGTGTCCACGCGCACTCTGGATCTGGCAGATGGTTCGCCATACTGCTCATCTTCGTCTTTGCTCCAACGTACTGTGGAACATGGGGAATTGTTGGCAAAATTTACGCCAGCGAAATCCAACCGGTCCAGACGAGAGCTGCGGCAAACAGCGTTGCGCAGGGTCTGAATTTCGTAAGTCATACCAAAAACCCGCTGATTTACATGCTAATCTTCACAGTTCACAAACTGGCTCGTGGCCTTTGCCACTCCCATTTTCCTTGCACGCTCCTCCTTCGGCGCATACTTCCTTTTCGGTGGACTATCCCTTTTCACGCTCATCATACTCGCGCTCTTTATGCCCGAAACACGAGGACGGGGTTGGAAGAAATCCAAGACGGGTGCCGCAGGCCATCGGTTAACCCGGCTCGACTCGGTCGCAAGATGTTAGAGGGCGTAAGATTCAGAGGAAGTCCCAGCACAGCGAGCACTGAATCAAGCATTGCTATGTCAGGAGAGAACCCCCAGACGGACACTGGGAGCAGCCATTCGATCACTGGCCCCCAGAGAGTTGCCACGCATACTGTTTGAGGAAGGGAATGCTTGTAGCTATACTTTCGACTTATGAATCAATGCATCATCATGATATTCCGTTCAGAAAGCCTGGCCTACTGCCACTTCATGACGCCCCTGAATCAATCTCAAGCCGTGATGTTGCTCAGGTACGAGCATGCATAATTTAAATTCAATCTAAAGAATTTTAGTTACAGCGTATTCCCATGGATGGTAAAGGAGCACTCTTCTCCTCTTCTTTCCCCTCTTTGCCTGACTGTTGATGTCATATAGGCAGCAGCAGTCTCGCATAATCGTTCACAGTGCAGCATCGATTACCACACCACCAAAAGGAAACCAGCTCCGACTGCCAGCACATGATTCAAAAATCACCTCCGTGTGCTCTTTCGCGGGGCAGATGCTATTCAAAAGAGTTTATCCTCGAGTATCAACAACGAAGAAATATCATCTATTCCATCACTATCACAGCAGTATCGTCCCAGCATACTTGCCTCTATTAGCATATTTTTTGTTGCTGGAAACCCCCAAAGCAATGGTCGGAAGAACAGTGGTGTTTGTGTATGTATAGAAAGGAGAACAGTTGAGGGCATGGGGCACCTGGGCACCAGAAGCGGTATAAGTATATGTATCTCGGGAAAGGACCAGGTAGGCAGTGTAGAAACCTGCCCCAATTGGAAAATGACCTTGAGCCAAAATGCGCTCAGTCCTCCATTTCCACATCAAATGAAACTTTTACCTCCACCTGTACGTCTCCTAAGCCGAGATCGATCCATGTCTCGGAGCAAACCAGCTCACGGGAACGGCACGTTTCATCACATGAGTAGCAATCACAGGCATCCGTGAACTCGCAGTCAAGATATTTAGTACCATCTCCTAGATCTATACAATCAGGGGAACGATGGTTCAATGTCCCAATTCCAGTGCGAGACGTGTCTGCAGGTAAGACCGGCAAGCTTGAATCGAGGGGGAAATCAAGGCGAGGGGTTGTAGTGTGCGGAAGGTTGTGGAAATTCTACGGAGATGTAGGGTCATCCGGACACTGCAGTCCGCTCAGCCTTCAACGGTTTGAAAGAATCTTCCAGACGCCTGTGGAACTGCTCGCTTCGAAAGAACATTTGCTTGCTGATGCGGGACTGGCTGTGTAAAAACAAGACTTCCGCATTGCGCTGCCGACTAATAGTGGCATTTGTCTGACGAAAAACCACTCGATCCCAAGTCACGATACAGTAATGCTGACAACATCACGCAGTACTTAATAAGCGATGTCCTTATTCTTACTAAGCCTAGCTGCCACCCTCATACAAAATCCAGCAGGTCCTTCTCTCATTCCCGTATCCAGGATCTCTGATGATTCGTCTTTCAGCGAGTGATGCCGTTGGGGAGTTGAAGGTCCGCAATCAAGATGAGTGGCGCTCTGCGACCGAGTACTATTCCTCTGCAGGAGACGCCCCAGCTGCTCATCTCCCTCATACTTCTTCAGCGCCTCCTCCTTCCAAACCTGATAGGGACCAGGTTGGCTGTTGTCCCCGGCCCACGCAGCTCGCAAGCCCTGGAACATGGCTTCGAAGTCCTCTTGCTCGTGCGATACCGATCCTCCATTGAAGAACAGGTACCTCTGCATCTTCCTCCCATTGCGAACCAGATGAGCCATATCGTTCCGCCCACGGCGCTCGAAAATGGCGGCGAATTCCATCTCTTCCGGGCTTAGCCGATTACTGCCGGCGTGGAAATCGCCCACTGGCCAAAGCATGCAGGGGCTGCTGAATGCTTGCGCTTTGGGTTCCAGGGACGCGAATTCCCAGTCGATTATGCCGGTGATGTTGAAGTCGTCGTCGACCAGGATATGGTCGCCCTTGTCATCAAAGTGTTTGAGAAAGAAGCCGGCGTCGTTGTGTAGCGACAGCACTTCCGGGACCATGTCCTCGCGCCAGCGATGCGAGAGGTAGTGATCTATGGCGAGACTTGACAGCTCGCCATTAGCTATGAGCCTTCTCTGATGTGCAAGCATCGCTCTCAAGGATGATTCCAAGGTGTCGAACGGTCCGAGGGTAGTGTTTGGGGAATCGAAGAGCTGTGACTGCGCGAAACCGCATACATTACCAGATCCGTTTGAGGGAAATAATGACCCTGTAGAATGAAACGAATGTTTCTCCAAGGCAAGGAGAATATCTGCTAGTTGTTCTAGGACTTTGGTCCTTTGAATAGGTGTGGTCGTGTCCCACATCAGAGGGGCGCCTTTCATCTTCTCGATAAGCATAAAAGGCACTCCCACAGGGTTTTCGCTAGACTCGGTCGCGAAGTGGAAGACTTTTGGAGCGGGGATGCCGGTATCCTCTAGATACTTAAGCGTGAAGACTTCACTGAGGAAGATGTACGCTTGTGTAGGTTTTGGTGGGAGGAGAGGGTCATCAAGGCGGATCCGGGCCAGCCAGACAACTCCATCTTCAAATTGGACGTCGATGTTGCAGTTTTGTCCGCCCATCTGGCGTGAAACGGCATCGACGTCGAGGTGTCCTTGGCCATCCGGCATAAGCGCGGGAATGGTGCATGAGATACCGTTGCGGAGACGGCTAGCCAAGGAGACCAGGGCAGTGGTCTTGACTTGGTAGAGGCGATTTAGAAGATGTTTCGTATTCGCGGAATGGTATGCGGTCCAGTAAGCATCTGATTCGGTGTCCTGCTAAGGTATTCAATGAAGTTCGACAATCGACAGGGGTTCGTTATACCGCAACATACCTGGGATGGATAGTGGAATGGCAATCGTGAGTGTTCGGCGCAGAAGTGCGAGGAGCAAATCATACAGCTTCCAATATCGCGTTCGGCTGGCTGGGTGCATGACTCATACTCGCAGTCACGAAGTGTCATGTTTTCTTTTCGAGCGTTCAAGACCGGTGCCGCAGACAATCAGGGAGAATCGCGAGCAAAACTTAGGAGCGGAAAGGACAATGAATGCAGAAGGCACAAAGTCGATTTTGTTTTGCTGGAGCGGATTGCCAGCTACACAAACAAATAACGTGCCTAACTGAGTTTGAGGTTACCATGGTGATCCCGCCTCTAAATTAGCTGATTTAGCTCTAAATAATGCCCCGCCCACCACACCCTCGCTGTCGGCCTAGATCGCTGGCGTGGAGGATCCCTCTTCCTCTCTTTCCTTCACAACCGCTATGACTAGAGAAAATTGTTCGGACATTGAAGGGCCGTTCAAAAAAGAGATTCTATCGAGTCAACGAGAAGTCAGGCAAGCCTCGCAGGGAAATGTTAGGACTGTACCGTGTTGGTTCATGGAAATGATTAACTTCAACAAGAATGCAAATGAGTCATGTACTAGTACTAGTACAGTGGTGGCAGTAGAAGTAGGAGTGCCAAGGAGTACTAGTCGCGGATAGACACGTCGCCCGATGCCATGCTTGGTAGTTATTAAGGGACGTGATACGTTGGCACCCCATATACATACATTGACAGAACCCCCCCCCTCCCCATCATCCGGGTACGACTTCTGGGCTGGTCGGTTAGGGCGCAGTCTCGAGTGCCTCAAGTGCCGTGGTCATGCTACCTACAGAGTGCGTCACTCGTGAACAGGAATCTCCCTCCCTACGGGGGCCCCCTCCTGTACACACTCGCTCCTACACTGTTTGGGTGCACTGGATCTTCAGAAGACTACTCTTCCGGGGGTTAAGGGTAAGTTGATCAGGAAAGTGCCCCTAAAAATGCGCAATAGAGTATGTCGGGTCAGACACCCCTCGTACCCGGACACTGTACCCGGATGTGAGGGGGGTGTCAACGTATCACATGCCTTTCGTTAAACTAAGGAAAAAATGAACGCTCACCTAGTCTCCTTGGTTATATTTTCCATTTGCTCATAAGATTATTTCAAAGTAGCATTAGCATTTCAGTGCTTCGGCCGTCCTTCGCCAAGAACCAATAGCCACCACACACGAAGCTCATCTGATGCTATCTGCCACCTCATAGACAAGACTTCCATCAAGTTCATTCGGCCTCCCGCCCTCACATCCAAGCTCATGCATCTGTCCTTCCACTCCAATCAACTCTCCGCGCTTCTCTCTCCTCAGCTCATCGTACTTCTCTTCCCAAGCGCGCGCCTCTTTCCTCGCGCTCAGCTCGCGATCCCTCTGTTTCCACAGCAACCCCAAAGCACCAAGCAATGCTAGCCCAAGCGGTACGCCGACTCCGATGCCGACCGCACTCGACTTATTAGATGAAGATGGCCAATTACGGCATATTGTGGGGTCTGTGGGGGAATTTGCGGTCGTTGATGGAGGGACTGTGGATGAGACTGTGACCGCAGCTGTCTCACTACTGTTGGGCGAGATGGATCCGGATGTCCGGTTGAATATAACTCTTCCAGCTTGCACGGGGAACGGAGCTGTGCTCCCTCGTGTGCTGTTGATGCATGCGTTGGATGATGAGTTGCCCGGTCCACAGCAGAAGGAGGAGTCCTCTTGGAATGGGTAGATCGTTACGCCCCAGCTGGTGTGGACTAGGAGACGAAGATGTGAGCGTTGGTCAGTCTTGTGTAGATTATGATATCCATGGGGGACAAAACAAGAGGGAGCGAGGGGACAACGATTTTCTCGCCTTTCGCATACTATCAATCAGACTAAACTTACCATCCTGACAATATCGCGGACATCGATCGCTTTTCCAACTTGGATCTGTGCAAGTGCCCCGCGAAATAACTTCATTGCCCGTCTGGGCGAGACAGAGGGTATTGTCCAGGCAGATGTCGAGATATGCGCAGCATGCGCTCGCCTGGCCAGATGATTGAGCTTGGCAGGGGGTGTAATTGTGAGGGGACTCGGAGCCGTCTGGGAAGTAACATGTTTGTGCGCCTACTGTTGTCGCTGTCCCCAGGAAGCAGGCTGAAATCGCGATGAAACCAAGAGCGCGCATGATCGCTACAAGCCTTGAATGGAACGTTCGGCGAGCTTTTGTGTGTGGAGCGTGGGGTTCTTTTGCTGTCGAAGAGATGGCAGCCTTGAGTGAGACTTTAATGGGATGTTGAGGCTGAAGGATTCATTGCCGAACGGGGCTGTGAAGTTTCGGCTCGGATCATGGAGACGCCGCCATCATGCCCACCTAAGTCTTCTGCATGGCGTTCTTCACTATATAGATTGTGAGATACGTAACAGAAAGGCGGGTTTACACCTCATCGCTTGCACTAGCGTTACTACACCGTCTGTTACTCTGAGCGGGACCATGATATGATTCGTAACATTATGCAGGATGACTGCCAGATTTGATGCTAGGGACGCGAAATGATCTCATACGGATCTTTCAAAGCCATGAAACCTCTCAAGATCTGGCGCCTTCCAAAACTGTCGACTTGGTGGTCCTAAATGAATTGCCATCTCCCACTTCAGCCGACTAATGGTAGATTGGAAGTCGCCGAGATGACTGATGTTTCGCAACTTTGGGGCCCATGGTTGTTGACTGGGGATCTGGTTAGTGGTAGGGGACCGTATTCCAGTAGAGTAAGTATGTTGGAGCCGCCCCCTGACTCCCCAAAAACCGGTTTCATGTGGTGGATCACTGCGGACAAGCCGATCTTTGCACTTTCAGCTCGTTTCATCCTCCAGATGCTGCGATGTGGCGCCTATGCTGATCTGCATGGGGCGCAATCTTTGCGGCACCTCCCTCTCGCTCTGGAATGAGAGCCTGCCACCATAAGCGTCCATTGAGTGGCTACCCATCCAGACTCAGCTTCTCCCGCTTTGCAGTTCCTGGATGAAGTTATGCCAGCCTTTCCCCCTTCATATCCTCGCGACCATCGTCGCCATCCTCAAAATCCTTCTCAACCTTCCTCTTCACCCCGCGTGTCTGTTTTTCAAACGGACCCTTAGCCTTCGTTCGACCCGACGTCCAACGGTTGGACCGCCTTGCATTGGTCCCCACGGCACATTTCTCACCTTTTGCTTTCTCATTCTCATCTTTGACAGGAGACTGCCCACCTGCTGCAGTACCTGCCCCATCTGCTTTCTGCTCTGCCTCCGGCCTAACAACGGTGATAACAAGCCCTCCAGCCTCTAAAACCGCCTTCGTCTTCTGCCACTCGACACCAAACCTTCCGCTGTTGATCCTTACCGGACAGCACTTGCCCACCTCTTCGCCCGCTGCTCTCATCTCTGCAACTTGTTTCGCTAGGTTTTCGAGCGCCTTTCTTGTGTTTTCCACTATTTCCTCCGGAGGCGAGACCCTTTTTCCGTAGTCGAGAGAGGTGAATAGGCAGGCTATGTAGTGAGGTGTCTTGGATGCTTGTCGCTGGTTTGTTGCAGTGGGTGGAGGAATGAGTAGGGCCGTGCCTACGAGACTGGCTTGGTGTTGTTTGACGGAGAGCTTGGAGCCCGTGGGCGATGAGAGGCAGTATGCTTGATGTTGGCGGAAGGCGTAGGGGTACTTCTGTTTGAAAGCGACGGCTACCCCGGAGCCCCAGGCGCCGCGGGCATTGCAGGCGTCTTTGGAACGTGGTCAGTGGGGCCGGACGGGTTTTGGGGGGAAGGGGGTCGGTGGAAACGTACGGATTAGGATACTGTTTGGGGGCGCGGAGAAGATGTCGCCTACTTCTTCTGTGATGATTGCCATGGCTTTTGACATCAAGAAGTGATACGATGTGCGTTAGGGAGGGAAATTCATGATGGGTCGGTTTTGATTGCCTTGGGCTGGTGGATGTCCTTCGACGCCAAGGCTGCATGCCTGGGATGATTGTGAAAACTTGAATATTCACATCCGCCTGGAAAGCACCATGCTGACAATGAGATAGGAACAAGGGTGGTGGCCACCTCTATTGGAAACATAACCGGGCAATCCGGGGACAGTCAATCAGGGACAAGCTATTCGATTTCCGCCAGGTAGAAGTCGATCGAACGATTGGATAGGGTAGTTGGTGTGGCATCGGTCTACATTTGAGACAGTACCTGGCTCGTTCTGGATTACAAAGCACGAGTTGGCAGTAATGATGGGATTGCCGGGCGATGGAAACGATTCCGCAGTCCCCTATTTAGTCGGAGTGGGTTTGGGACTGTAAGAGTGTTGGTCTTAGGGTCCTCGGAATGTTTACGGAAAGATCAATATCAACTTTTTCCTCTAACAATCATCCATCACACCCTTTTTGGGGATGAAAGAGTATTTAATCTCGGTATCCTCGAACTGTTTACAGAGAGAACAGTGGTATATTAGCTCAGTCTACACATTGATTTCCGCCACCTAGCCCTTCCCCTTTGCGGCCCACAAGCTCTTGACGTGCATACATTGCAAATGATATTGAACTGAAAATGGTGACCCTGGTCAAGATTCTCATGCCATATCATGCTTGAGCTTAGCGTCTACTTGTTACTATGCCGAATAACATGACTCAAATTCTTGCCACAACCTAATTGGCGTAGATATCTATTTGGACTATCAGACGGACAACGTAGCTCGCCCTTACCTGTCCTTCGTCAGTGCAAACCAACCAATCCTTGCTCATGGCATTCAGAAGGCAGCGCAGTACCGCTCGGCTCACAAGAGGAGGCAAAGACTGATATCCTATATATCATCAAAAGACGGGCTGCAGCCGAGCTATGAAAGTGCAGAGAGGGAAGGCGGCTCGTCAACATCGTCTGCCCTCTCCATCGGTCATATAGGAGAGGCACACAATGGCACCGGGTCTTCTAACGCGCGTTCCATTTCCTCTTCGGCGAGCGCCAAATTTGGTATGGTATGTGGGAAGAATTGTCAAGTATGGAGAAGATATTGTGAGTAAGTAGCCTATCCAACGGTATTATTTGATTTAGTAGAAAGGTATATAAAAGGTAGAAAATAGCTATATACACATAGTTATTGAGCACACAAACCCCACAAAAGCCATCAGAAACACCAACCCCACCGACCCCACCATCCCATTCCCCAGAAACAACCCTTTCAGCCTCGCCGCCCTCCCTTCAAAAACCTGCACACCACCGCTCGTACCATTCGTACCTCCCAACCCAGCACTCCCCACCGTCGACGACGGCGGGCTACCAGTAACCGAGCCAAACGGCCCGTTCGACCCAAACGCCCCCATTATCAGCCCCTCCAGTCCCACACTACCACCACTGCTCTGCAGCGCAATAGTCTTCGACCCAACCACCACGGACCCAGCCGTATTAAGCGACACGAGGGTCCCGCCCAGCGTAATCCCCGAAGCGCCAGGCGTCAAAGTGGTGCCTGCAATAGCGATTCCGTGAGGCGAGGCGGTGATGACGTGGTTTGCTATGGTTGTTGTGAGGGGGAGAGGGGATGCGGAGAAGAGAGGGATGGTTTGGGAGCCGAGGAGGAGGGCGCTGGCCGTGTTGAGGGAGAGGAATGTTCCGGAGATGGTGGTGCCCGGGGATCCGGGGGTGAGAGAGCTGCCGGCTATGAGGAGGAGGTTTGGGGCGGCGGTGATGGGCTCGTTGGCTATGGATGTGGTGGTTGTTAAGGGGGTTTTTGTGGAAGGGAGGGGGATGGTTTGAGCGTTTAAGAGGAATTGGCCGGCTGGGTTGAGGGAGAGGGTTGTTCCGTCGATGGTGGTGGCGGGGGCTCCGGGGTTGAGAGTGGTGCCTGCGAGTGCGACGGCGTTTGGCGCTGCGGTGATGGCTTGGCCGGCGATGGTGGTGGTGATGGGGGTTGGGGCTAGGGCTGGGGCTGCGAGAGGGAGCGTGCTGGTGCCTACGATGAGAGCGGAGGATGCGAGTCGGATTGGGGTTCCGGATACGGTTATTGGGGGTGCTCCTCTTGTTAGAGTGGTACCTGCGACCGCGATCGCGTTCGGTGCGGCGGTGATGACGTGGCCTGCGATAGTGGTGGTTATGGAGTTGGGACCTGCGGAGGGGAGAGGTATGGTAGATGCACCTATAATGAGAGCGGACGGACCGAGTTGTATTGGGGTTCCGGAGACGGTGATTGGTGGGGCTCCTGCGGTCAAGGTAGTGCCTGCAATGGAGATGCCATGAGGAAGCGGCTGCACAGCTTGGTTGTTTATAGTCGTGGTTTGGCCTTCGGCCAAATTGTCGAAAGGATTTGCGTCATTGTTCTGCTTTGGGTCCGATTGTGCTACTGCTCCTGCATTCTGGGTTAGTCCTTGACTATCATCGGCTTGGTTGGGATCGCTATTGGGCTTGGGATCTGTTTCTTGTCCAGGATCTCGACTGTTATCATTGCCTTCTTTTGGGCTATTACTTTGGTTGGGATCGCTGGCTTGCTTAGGATCTCCAACTGAACTTGAATCAGAACCATGTTTGGGATCAATGCTTTGCTGAGGATCGTTATTTTGTTGAGGGTCGTTGCCCCCTTTGAGATCGCCGCTTGATTCTACAGGATTAGACAGCGGCTGGGACGGCTGACTCTCGTGAGTTGCAGGGTCATTAGGGTGAGGGCCATTCTGCTTTGGGGGAACCGAAGTTGTTGTAACTGTAGCCTTTGGCTGATCCAACGTAGGGACATTCGCAGGTATAGGTATTGACGTTTCGGTGCCGACTATCTGTCTAGCTTCTGAAGTTAAAGTAGGACTTGGCACTGGCGCCCAAGGATGAGCTTTCGGCTCATTTTGCACGATAGGTGGGGCTAGTGCTGTTTCAATCGTCAGGGCACTGGGGGGATCATAGGCTGTGAAGTAGTCGTAGTCGCATTTAGAGAACCAAGGAACAATCTCCTTCAGTTTACTGGGCATAGCAATAAGAGGGCGGTACGGTTCACCGGGCTGTGGTTTGTACCAGTTTTGTTCCTAAGATGATTGCTTCAGCTCGATACGTGATAAACTTGACGACGAGTAGGTACCATTACGCTTTGCGGCGGGCAAGGCAGATCGTTGAAATTAAAACTTTTTGTAGAAAATGGATTTCCACCATTAACGTCATTGCCGAGCCCAGCATTGCCAAGCCCATAAGGCCCCCCAAGTGGCCCAGCGATCGTTGATAGTTCTCCAGGGTCGAAGGCGACCATCGTAGTCGATAGAACTACGCCGCCGCACTGGTCTGTTGCTGTTATTCCGTGGAATCTGGCGTACACAGACGGAGAGGTACTAACGCATTTGATATTCCCATTAGTGTGTGAAACCTTTCTATAAGTAGAGACTTACAAAGTGAAATTGCCTGACACAATGGTAGTCACTGGTAAACTACCATTGTGGGTAACGGAAGCCGGGGTGATTAAAGTGTGATCTCGTGCGTGCATTGTTGCATGCTTGTCACGAATGTCTGCGGATATATTCGACCCCTGGGACATTAAGTCACTGACGGTACATGGTGATGGGGACCATGGATCGAATAGTGAGGCCTTAATTAGCAAAGAGCCGATAGTCGAGATACTAGCTGTTATAGTCACTACTGGATACGTAATAGCAGAACTATATCGGGTGATGTAGTCCGTTTCCATGCTGGCATCGCAACCCCAGTAGGTAGTAGTCTCATTGTTGGAGTCCACGGTCTTTGTAGCACCATAACCAAGTGGTCTGATGCTGTCCCCAATGATGCTGAGACACGACGTGTTGACAACAGGCTCGGGCCAGTAGTAGACATCTACATTCTTAACGTCAAGCTCGCATTCGCCACAGCAAGATGGATTGGCCCCTGACATGATGTGGTAACTATAGGGGTCCATTTGAATAGCCACATGGGAATCAGGATCGAGGAGATCCGTGGTATTTACAGCCCATTCCGTATTGGCTGTTACACATTGTCTTGATCTCATCCAATTTTTCATGCTTTGAAACTCGGACGTGCTATCCGAAGAATTGTGTATGTCGCAGGTCGACGAATTCCCTAAATTTATCGATCCCGCCTCGATGAAGCATTTGTTCCTTAGAAGATCGCCTTGAAATGTGGGATCAAAGAATTTATCTATTGCTAAGGTCCTATCCCCTGGGCAGGAAGGATCCCACAATACGCACTGATCGTTCACACCTGTGGCGTTCGTCGTTCTCACAGATTCGTTGTTCTGTTTGGACGGGCAGTGACCGCCTGCAATCGCACAGGTCCCCGAATTGAGACTCTGGTTGGTGTTGATGCTCTTATAATTTCCAGCGTAACTGGGATTGAGGTAAGATGAGGTTGGGGGGACGGTAGTGGCACTGGCTATGCGATAGGTATGATTGTTGACTACACTTCTAGATGCGGAGGTGAAGGAGCTGCTGTGGGTCTGTACCAAAGGTGAAGCTGCGGACATATTCGATGCAGATATGACAGAAGGCCATGAAACTTGTCTTGACAGCGTGTGACGTGCAAGGGTGATATGATTATCATGTTTCAGTAGAGACAGGAGTAATAGAAACTTGATAAAGCAGAGCATTATTTCGCGCACCACGAAGAGAATGACCAATAAGGATCTCGACAACAAGCCAAATAAGCCTTTAAGAGCACTGCGAGAATCTCCAAGAGGAACGACAGCCCTTATACACGGGAATTTGAAGGGACCGACAGGACAGTGGACTCGAAGAACTTTTTCTGCGGAAGCGAAATTGCCATTGAGCATAGAGACTGGAACGTGTGCATTCGAAAGGGGCCATAGGAGATCTTTGCAAGGTTACCAAACCACCGCAGCATCCCAGCAGAAATGCAACCACGGCTATAAATTTTGAAATCCTTTTCTAATTTTAGTTCCATCTTTCGTAAAATGGTCGCGCACCTTTGCGGTAAATGTAGCCTGACCGCACTCGTTGATGAGCGTCTTCATTCTAGACCCATAGCAAGATTATACATCAGTCCTTGTTTCACAGTGCTCGAATCCTTATAGCGCGGGGATACTTGCCAGTCGATGCAGTAAATGAGCAGAACTACGAAGAGCCTGTCACATGTATGTCAGACTGATGTTTCAGCCTTCTTGAGCTAGTGTTCTCCATTATTCAAGATTGGAGGAGCCAAATGTAATCATAAAACTCAGCCGCATGCGAAGATTTGGCCTGCCAAAAAGTCCGTATTATGCATAAGCTGAACATGATCTTCAGCTCATGCATGCTTTGCCCTGGCCAGCACACACATTTCGCCATAGTAACAAAAGCCTGATCCTGTGCCACATTTTGGGAACCTGAGTAAAGTGATGGGCCAGAGGCTGCCCTATGCAAGTCCATGGCCGAAATATGGTGTTGCTTGACGTAGACCACCTTGATAGAGAAATAGTAATTCTGGCAGCAGATTGAAACAAGCGTGTCATTTTATCAAGCAAAGTCATAAATGGCCAACTAATGCTTTGTACCTTACGAAACTCTAACGAGAGGTCCTTATGTTTTTACGTTTTTGTGCGTAACCGCACCACCGTATTATCACCGATTTTCCTATATACCGACATAATCCATTAAGGTGCCGAGGGTGGGTATCAAAAGTCCCTGCCGATTGTCCGGCGCTACTCCTATTTGCAAAACCATTTACGAGAGCGCCCGTTTAATAGCTATCCCACCAAAATTTCGTCGTAATCACCGTTAAATAAATATAAAAGATATTTCGTTATATAGATATTATAATAGTTATTCTATCTTTCTAATTAAGCTAGAATTAAAGTTATTTAATTAATAATATAATATAAGTATATAAAGAAATCCTTCTTTTATTATATTTATAAATTATATTATTATCGCTATATTATTTAAATAATTACTTAAAAAGAAGCTTAATAATCTTAAAAAGTCTTTTATAAGAAAGAGGCGTATAAATACTCTATTAATTATTAATAATAAGTAATTTTCGCTCTTTTAGAATATAGTTATAGAGAGAGAAGTAGTAATAGATATCTCTATTATATCTATTTTTAAAGTACTTAATTTAAGATTTATAATAATATCTTATAAGCTAATAATATTATAATTAAGATTTAATAAATCGAAGTCTTTTAAATAATAGCGTTTTAAATTAATAATTAATTTTTTTCTAAATTTTATAGAGCTTAGTTTATTGCTATTAAATTAGCTTTCTAAGTTTTTAAATAGTATATCTCTATTAAATCTTTTAATTAATAAATAATATTTTATTAATTTAAAGTTAATCTTTAATTAAATACTTATTAATAAGAATTTAATTGTTAGAGGAAGCAAGGGCTTTCATCAAGTAAGGGCTTTCGTCAAGTAAAGCTTAATAAGGAATTACTTATTTAGAAAGTAGATTCTTTATCAATATAATTAATTAAGTTATTTTATATTAATTAGATTATTACTTCTAGCAAATAATAGTAATATCGAAATTATTTTATTAGTATTATTTCTTTACTTAATAAGTATTAAGAGATTTAATAATTAAGTTTATTATTTTCTAATAAGTACTAGCTAGAAAGTATTATAATTCTTTAATAAAGTCTTTCACTACGCTATAAGAATAGCTTCGATATATATACTTTTGAAATAGCTGTTTTCTTTTCTTATAAACCTTTCTTTTTTAAAAAAATCCTTTAATCGTCTACTCGACGATATCGTTAATCTACTTTATACTAAAATCGCTAAGCTTTCGTTATCTATTAAGAAATTTCTTTTAAATTAATAATCTTATTATATCTTCCTTCTTAAGAAAGAAAGCTTCTTTATCGACGATCTCGTTATACTTTTTTTTTTAAGAAAGAAACCTCTTCTAAGAAAGAAGCTTTTTCTTAAGAAAGTTAAATTTTAACTTATTTAATTCTCACTTCGTTTTCTACTTTTATAGTTATCGATATCATCGATTAATCTTTATAATAATTTTTTTAAGATTCTTAATCTTTATAGTAAATCTCATTTTTAAAGATACTATAATTCTTATATTTTAGCTTTCGAAATTTATCGAAAGTAATCACTCTTTTATAAATCTTTTTAATAAGAATACTTATTATCTAATTACTCGAATTATTAGAAATAACTTTAAACCTTCTTAAATTAATTGAGATATCTCCGCGAGGGACGAATATATTAGAATATAATTACAATTTATAGAAGTATTAAGCTAGTTTTATAACTAAGTTATTAATAAGTTTACTCTTCGAGACGTTCTTAATATCTTCGAAAGAAATATTCTAGTATTTCACCGACTTAAGAATCCTCCGTTTATTAATATTACTTTATATACTTTTTCTATAATCACCCCTTTCGAATTAATAACGTTAAATTTCTTCGAAGATATTAGATTTATTATTAGAGTTATATCTACGAAAGAGACTATTTATACTTATCTTATTAAATCTAAAATACCTTTTTAAGAAAATTAATTTTAAAGAGAGTCCGGATTCTCGTAGTAATAATGGATTACACTATAAGGATTACTTTGAAACGTTACTTCTTAACTTAAGTCACCGAGTTCGCTAGACGATTCTAGCCTTTTAAGAAATAACGCTGTGAGAAATAAAGATAATTCGTTATATCTAAAAGCTAATAATATTAATTTCTTTAATTTTATCTTTAAAGGAGAAGAACCTATTATTAATATAGGCTAATATACTTTTTATAAGAATATCTATATCTTCGTAGACCGGCTTAAGGATATTACTACTATTAAAGGCTATAAAAAGATTCGAGAAATCTTACTAACGTGTTTCCGCGGTGAGACTTTAATCTAATACTTTATCGAGTTTATAGAGTTTAAAAAGATATTATTAAGAATAGCTTCGTTAAAAGCTTAATTCGAATTCTTAACGAAGTAATTTAAGAAAAGAGCTTTTATAATAGTTTAATATCTTTAAACTAAACGCTATATTATAAGTAATACTAGAAATAATAAATTAATATATTCTTATATTTAAAATATTTTAAAATATATAAAGGCTATCGAGTTTATCTTTATCTATAATTAGCTAATTATAGCTTAAAATAATCTTTTACTAGAATTTCGATAAGATATTCTTAAATCGATATCGTCGACTATCTTAGATTAATTTCTAGATTAAATTAACGCTAAGTCGAGTATTTAGTTTAAAATAATATAATAAAATTATAATCTTCTATAGTATATTAATTAAAAAGTATTAACGCTACTTAAGTAGTCTAATTAGTATATAAATAATAATTTTCGTTAGAGTAAATTTTTAAAGCTATCTTTTTTTTCTTTCTCGTACTCTTAATAGTAGTTTTATTAAGGATTTCTATCGAGATATAATAATTATAGAAATAACTTTACTAATTAGTCTAATCAGTTCTATTAATAATAGTAATTAAATTCTATCTTATCGATTTCTCGATAATTTTTATAAATTATAGAAGGAGATATTAACTCGTTCGATTCTTAGATATTATTAAATTAGTAGAATCCTCGCTATAAAGATAATAGATTTAGAAGATAAGTAAATAAATTAAATATCGGATTTTTTAATTATAATTAAAATAGATTACTATAATAATAGAAGATAATATATTAAGCTAGTAAAGAAGAATTATTACTATCTTCTTACGACGATATTAAATCTAAATCTATATTTTAGAATAAGAATATCTATTAGAATCTAAGCGAGCCTAATAATTACTATATTAACGAGGATTTAGATTATTATTAATTTCGCTAGAAAGACGAAATAGATAAATACTTCGTAGAAGCTATAGAGTATTTTATTAATATAGCTAAGATTATTCTTATTTTAGCGGCTAACTATTAATATTATTATTATTATAAGATTTTCCTCTTTAATAATAGATTTCACCGCTATCTCGATAATCTAGATCGAGATTATTATTTTAAATCTTTCTTATACTTAAACTTTCTATTTAAGAAATACTCGAAAATTTCTTTTATAATCTAGATATATTCTTTTATCGAGAAATTATCTAGAAATTTTTATTCTTTTATTAAGGAATCTTTTATTAAAGAACCTTATAAGTCTAATCTCGAAGAATAAAGTTTTATTAGAAAAGTTATTAAGTTGTTAGTTAACTTTACTTCTAAGATTAGTATCGATTATATTTTTTATAACTATTACTACGTAAGAGCTACTATTAAGCTATTACTCGATAAAAAAGTTAAAAAGAGTTATTTAGATATAGGCTACTTCGTTATTCTAATAAATTAAACTTATCTAAGTAAGGTATTTTTAAATTTATTAGTTAAGAATATAGCTAGCTTTATTATAATAAGGGATTTAGAATCTAATAGATATAAAACCTCGAAATACGTAGTTATATCTCTCTACTTTTTTAATAAAAATACTATAATTATAACGTCGTCGAGGGAAATCTATATCGTTAATAAATTTAAGGTAAATATTCTAATTAATATAAATATTATAAT